GATTTCTCAGTCATCAATATGAATAAAATCAGATAAATGAGCATTTCTCTAGTCAAGAAAAAAATTACACCCACACCCACACCCTCAAGATATTTCCAATGTAACTCATAAAACACAGGTAGATCCTGTATAGCTTATACCTAGTATAATCGTATCGAATTTATGCTATAGATTTAAGAAGTAGTTTCAAGTAGTCTAAAACGTTGAGAGATCTCAAACAATGTATTGATTAGTAGCTATAAATAAACTTTTTGCTAGTACGATTCAAGATTCTAACTTAATGGAAAGTTAGAACGGGAGTTGTTTGTCAGAAATTTATTTAGAAATCATGATTACTCCAATATTCTGCCAATTTACTGTATTCGAAATTTTTGTTTTTGCATCTATGCTTTCATTCGAAAATATATTAGCTACATATATGTGATTAAAGTGTTAGAGTTTTAAAGTTCTGCATGTAGTCATTAATGTGATAAAATTCATGCTCGTCCTCAGTAAAATATACTCCATTCATAATTAACTGTACTAACTAATACAATGATTTTTTTAAAGCTGATAAATACTTCGAAAATCATGAGAAAAATAAGATATAAACACAAATATTTTTAACAATACGGAACGATGAAGTGTAATTAGTTTCATTTTATCTATCTTATAGATCAAAATAATTAAAATACCTGCTTAATATATTGAAACAACGAATCAAAGACTTGATCAAGTTGAATTAGTTTGTTGATTATAACTAGGGTTGAATATTATACCGCGAGTTATAACTAGGTCAATTTAATCCCCACAGTGATTCAATGCCATATAGTTGTAAAAAAAATCGTTTACTCTAACTTGTCTAGATAAATGATGAATAAATAGTATTCATGCATAATCTCTCGGATAACTTTCGTATCAAATGATCTAGAACAGCTAAGGCCTTTTTGTTTCAGATTTCTTACTTTTGAAATTTTTTCTAGAACAACGCTAGCTATTTTGAAAAAGTACGACAAGCATATATGTCACGTTCTATTATTTCATCAGTTTTTGTTGAAGCATATACTGAAAAGAGCATGGGCGACACAAGCTCAAGTCACAATGGGAAGCAATAGGATGTGGGTGTGGGTTAAGAAAAAAATTACATCCACACCACACCCTCATGTTACAGTTCGTTTCAATAGTTACAATGTTATAGAGACACATTGACAGCTGTGTTAAGAGGAAGAAAAACAAACTTTCATATGTTGCGATGCAGAAAATATGTCCTCCTCACTGTAAAACATATTTTTTTCGTGCGCATCACAAAAATAGATTAATTCTTTTCTTTTAATTTTTCTTCTACTAAAAGTAGTTTGAGTTCTTTTATCTAACGACAAATAGCTCTATTAAAATCTGTAGATGTGGTATCCGAGTGAAACTCGAATACAAAATGCGGTGCGAAAGGCGAAAAAAAGATGAAATTTCAAGGTCACTCTACGCTAACGAGATTACAAAGTTACGATAAGGTTTAGGAGTTCATCTTTCTAGTTGTCGGTGCGAATAAGGATCAATATTTGAACGATCAAGTACAGTTATCATGAAAATTCATCACTATAACGTAAGAGAAGGCAATGAAAAAATCTTGAAGCATCTGTAATTTGTTTTATCTGAGTATTTCAGTGAAATATTGTCTGATTTTCTATCGATGAGATTAGTGAATCAAAAAAGATTGACGCCAAAGATATATGTCGCGAAAGCAAAAGAGAGAAAACGAACAAGTTCAAAAAAAGAACTGAATTGTCTGTGTATACCGCTTCATTCTTTATGGAAATAAGGCTTTTTTCTTTCTGCAACTTCAATTCATTCGAAATCAACAGTCTACACATGTGACTGTTATAATATTGTAGATTTACTTCTCGCACTGTATTCAAGAATTTAGAAAAAGAAAAGTTTCTTTTGAACAGATTCATATAGAACGATATCGATTGAACGATTGGTTATCTACTAAAAAAACCAACAGAGTTGTTTATAGATTCGAGTGATGGGATCCGTTCATGTTTTTTTCGAACCGAACCGAATGAAGTTCAAATGTCTTAAATATCTCAGCAACATCAAAATATTATTGGAATATTTGCTTTTCTCTTAAATGATATTTTGTGTACACATCATTATCGCAGGAGAACTTAAAATTCAAAACATGTTGAAATTTTCCTAGTTAAAGTTAAACTATTAATTTTACCTAGTACAACTTAAAATTTCAACTTTGAATGGATATTTTACGTCCGTCAGAATCGGAGAAGACCAGAATAAAATAAAAATGTACACTAAAATAAACATTGGTATATCATTGAAGTAAATATTCAAGTATCAGTTTCTTCTTTTCATGGAGAAATTTTATAAATTACTTGATAAACATATTGATGGTATAAATTTCAAATTTTAAAAGAAGTTCTCTATAAAACAGTCATTATATTATGATATAATATTTGTTCTACGCGAATTCTGGATGAATAAAAATTGGTGATCCGAATGTTGTATATGAAATAGAATTTTATCATATTGATTTTACATACGAAAATTTGTACACAAAGCTCAATAAATGTCACGAAAGACTTGGTCATCACGAGCGAGATAAGATGTGAGAAAAAATATGCCGTGTGAACATTTGCATAATACAGATACAGTATGGTATTAAATGTCACTCATCGAAAACGAAACCATGCTCAAATGTGTACTTTAATCTTTGTATTTTTGAAATATAAAAAGAATAAAGTTAATATTAAATTTTCAGGAATATTTAAAATTCTCCTATATAGGAAAAATTAAAACATTCATTTTTACTAGAAAATATCGAGTCAAAGTTGAAATTAGCACTTTAAATTTCCCTGAATTTTAATTTCTCCTGCGACACATCCATATATATATATATATATTGTTGTTATTAGCAACATACTGTTTTTAACATGGGTGAGGTGTTTCTAATAGAAAGACTGGATGGATCTGTGTTTTTTTTGTTTTATTTCTCTAATCAGTAGCAAAAATCTGTTGGTTGAAAATAAAGAAATCGGTTTAAAAGACTTCGGACCAGGTCGAGAAATCCAACACCGAATCCGATAGGAACTTGATAGTACCCTACCATCCGACAGACTTGTTAGGTAGTGGCGCTTTCTAGGTCCACTACCTCTCTTATCTATCTCATTCTCGTCATTGGTCATTAGGCCAACTTATGTTCTTCTCTCTTTTCCTTTTTTTGAGAAGAGAAAAAGAGTAAAAAGGAGCGTTGTTGTANGGTCCACTACCTCTCTTATCTATCTCATTCTCGTCATTGGTCATTAGGCCAACTTATGTTCTTCTCTCTTTTCCTTTTTTTGAGAAAGAGAAAAAAGAGTAAGAAGAAGAGTTGTTGTAGATCTTGTTATGTGTAGTTAGTTTTGTTTAAAAAGAAATAAAAGATGTTAGTTGTGTATTGACTAGCAATTGGTGCCGTGACCCGTCGTGATACATTTCGACAACAATTCGTCGAACACGCAGCATTTTGTTTTAGTCAAATTTTTTTCCGGGTGCTCCTCATTCGATTTATTTCTGGTTTATCAAGATTTACCTTAGTCCTGTTCCTGATTATTATATTACTGCTTATTACAACTTACCAAAAGTACACAGCATATTCGATTTATTTATATGATTGATTCTGTGTAGATCCTTATATTGTTGCTTATTACACATTAAGACTTCTCATCGGATTAGCTGTATTTGATCGTTATATCAGAATTTAATATTCCGTTTATATTTCTTGTCCTAATGTTGTGATTTTTGTACCGGTATTATATACATATGGCATACAATCCTGATTATTATATCGTTCATATTCCATCACCATTTCAGTTTTTATTCGTGATATCACTTTAGTTCTTTCATTTTTTTCATTAGAAACGTAATTGCTTATGGTGATAACTCGTTCACAACATCGTCAACTATTTGTACAAGAAGTACAACGTTTATCTCTCATCGAAATGGAACCTGCTGATATTTCAACTTCTCGTTCAACTATTCATCGTCCTGTATTTACTTCTAGTATGGAAGAACAATTTATGAGCACATTAGCTAAAGAACAAGTTAAAACGCTTACCAAATTCAGTGGTTCTGATTCAGAAGATGTTATTTTGTGGCTTAAAAATGTTGAAGAAGTTTTTGATCGCGCCCTTATACAACCTTCCAATAAGTATTTAGCTATTCAATCGTATTTGACTGATGCTGCTCTTAAATGGTTCCGTTTTAACAAGTCAAACATTCCTGATTGGTCATCATTTACAATTGCCATCGTTAAAGCTTATCAACCATCCCTTCATCAAACATTACTGAAGATGGAACAACGTCATCAATTACCTGGTGAATCTGTAATGGAATATTATTATGATAAGCTTCAGTTATGTACACAAGCTGATCCCAATATGAGTTCAGCTATGGTTATTCATTATTTAACCAAAGGCCTGAGTGATTTACTATTACCTCATGTTATTCGTCGACACCCAGGAACACCTAATGGCTTTCTTAATATTGCTCAAGATGAAGAAAGAATTTTATTTACATTAAATGGTTTATCTTATGCTTCAACAAATGAACCTGGTCATTATTTAAATGAAGATATTCAAATGGACCGTCTGGTAAACGTTGTTAAACATCCAATTAATGTACACGATCGCTCCTTTAATCAACAACATCATCAAACACTTCCTCCACCACTTATGAATTTATCAACGACTCCATGGCCGTCCTCCGTTCGTCGTCCTTATTCTCATCATCGTCTCTCAACATCTACATCACGTCAATGTTATGCATGTTCTGAGTTTGGACATATTGCTCAATATTGTCCTCATCAAAAAAACATCTAAAGAGGTATCAAGATGGTGGTACCTCTACTAAAAAGAAAAAACCATCACTTCCGTCATCATCATTTTCAATTTACGTTCCAGTTAACCATAAGCCTACCATGATTTTAGTTGATACTGGAGCTGCCATTTCTCTTATTCATGATAACACATTATCGACTATGCGACACAAACCCATTGTTTCATGTTCATTAAATGAAGTTCATACTGCAAATAGTGGCTTTATCTCTCTTCTTGGTATAGTTAAACTTACTGGTCAAATCAATCATCTTGATACACAGGTTGATGCCTATGTCACACGTGATCTTATTTGTCCTATGGTTTTAGGTCGTGATTGGATTCAACAAAATTATGCCAATATCAATTTTTGCACCAATCGTCTTTATCTTTATAATGGTCTTGCTTCAGCTCCTTTATTACCCATACCTCGTAGTGAACCAGTCATTATGCCATTATCAGATTCTATTGTTATTCCTCCATTTCATCAACAATTTGTTTATGGCTATGTACCTATTAACTCATTAAATGATGCATTATTTACACCTAATATTGCTCTACAACATGCTCGAATGGTCCTGCTTCCTCATTCACTCCTCCATATTCGTGATAACCGTGGTGTTATTTCCATCATCAATAATACTCGGCATTCAAAACTAATTCAACGTAATACTCCACTTGGTTTTGTTTCCCCCTCAACTACAACAGCGGATCTCAACGTCATTACAACATCACTTATGAACTTTCCTGATTTTTCTTCTTCGTCTCCATCTTCATTGTCATGTAATCATTGTGGCGTTCATTTTTCTACGGAATTAATATTGTATGATCATCTATTTTATTGTTGTAATAAAGATTTCACTTGTACAACACAAAATATCACTCCTTTAGTTCAACATATTGATGATCCTGTTAAAAGAATAAAAGTTTATCTAATGCTACATCATTATTACCAACTTTTCGATGATTCATGTTTGCAAGGCATTACCTGTTCCCCTCAATGTGCTATCAACACCCATTCTCAAGCCCCTTTAGCTGAACATCCACGTCGAGTTTCGCACCTTAATCGAGAAATTATTAATAATGAAGTTAAGAAACTGTTAGCGAATGGAATCATTGAACCCTCAAATTCGCCTTGGGCTTCTCCTGTTGTTATAGTTAAGAAATCGGATGGATCTCCCAGGTTTTGCATAGATTACCGGCGCTTAAATTCCATTACTCAAAAAGATGTTTATCCATTACCCCGTATCGATGATGTTATTGAACGTTTAAATGGATCTCACATATTTTCAAAGCTTGATTTACGTAGTGGATACTTTCAGGTACCTTTAGCACCTCACGAACGTGCTAAAACTGCTTTCACTACTCCTGATGGTCTTTGGGAATTTACTCGATTACCTCAAGGACTAAAAAATTCACCATCTGTTTTTCAGCGCTTAATGAATTAAACCCTTGGATCATTACGTTGGGATATATGTCTTGCGTATCTGGATGATATTGTCGTATATTCCCCTTCATTTGATAGACATCTGTTGAACGTCAAGCAAGTATGTCAAGCACTCCATGCATCAAATTTTAAATTAAATTATAATAAATGTGCATTTTTTCAACGTGAAATCTCGTTCCTTGGCCATAAAGTTAACGCTGATGGTTGCTCACCTACTGATGATAATATTCGTTCGATTGTTCAGTTTCCTACTCCTCAATCAAGTAAAGCTGCTCATTCCTTCTTACAGATGGTTGGATTTTATCGAAAATTTATTTCTCGTTTTGCTCAAATATCAGCACCACTTAATAAATTTACTTCCAAAGGCTTTCCATTTATATGGACTGCAACAGAACAATCAGCTTTTAATCAGTTAAAAGATGCTATCACATCTCCTGCTGTTCTTATCCTACCTGATCCTTCACAACCATATATTATTCGTACAGATGCTTCAGGTGTCGGTATAGGTGCGGTGCTATTACAAAAGTTAACGTCTGATTGTAGTGGTGAATCAATTACACCTATATATAGACCAGTTGCTTTTGCATCTCGCAGTTTAAAATCCGCTGAAAAGAAATATCCTGCTATAGAACTTGAAGCATTAGCTATTTGGTGGAGCGTGACCCAAAAGTTTTGATCATACATTGAGGGTCAACAATTTTTTCTCGAAACCGATCATAAACCGCTATTATCGTTGATGAAAAAACCTTATCATAATGCACGTATTGAGCGATGGATGTCCACCTTACAACAATATGATATGATTATCAGACACATATCTGGAAAAGAAAATACAATTGCCGATGCTCTCTCTCTCGTTATCCAGTTGACAAACCAGATATTAATGATGAAGATGCGCCATCTCGTGTTACTTCTTCAACTCAGACTGATGATTTTTTCGTCAATGTTATTACAACTCGCTCAATGACACGACAACATCGACCCCATGTTCCTTTCACGACATCTCCATCACCTGTTCCTCCTTTTAAACAAATCACATCACCAGCAACACGTCAATCTACTCTATCGATTGCTCCTTCTTTTTCATCCCTTAATGATAACCTCATTTCAATTGACAATGACACAATAAATATTTATCAAAATCAAGATCCTACTATTCAGAAAATTAAAAATGTGTCACCACTAAACTCTAAATATCGACTGGACGAACATAATATACTTTATAAAATTATAACCCGGCCGAATGGTCGGATTCTTCAATTACCTTATGTTCCTGCTTCCTTAATTCCTCAAGTATTATTACTGTATCATAACTCAACATTAAATGGAGGTCACTTTGGTATTAAGCGTACTTTTTACAAGATACGCGACCGTTTCTTCTGGCCAAATATGTACAAAGATATCGAACGACACATTTTGTCTTGTATTGATTGTCGAAAGAATAAACCCTCTCGTCGAAAACCTGATGGTCATTTGCATTCAATTGAACCTCCTCGGGGAGTTTGGGAGCGGCTTGCTATGGATTATGTTGGTCCTGTTCCTCAATCAAAATCGGGTAATAAATATTTTCTTGTACTCACCGATTTATTTTCGAAGTTCGTTATCACCAAAGCCGTATCCGATAATACATCAACAACAGCTGCTCAATTTCTATTATATGATGTTTTTATGACTTACGGGGTTCCATTTGAAATTATTACCGATAACGGTAAACATTTTTCTTCTTCTCTATATGAGTCCTTACTCAAGTTAACTAAATGTTGTCATATTAAAACGACACCTTATAACCCCCAAGCTAACGGTCAATGTGAACGACATAATGCAACTCTGGTACCTAATCTCGTTGCACTTTCCAACCAATCTCGCTCTAATTGGGATGATAAATTAGTGGCTACTACTTTTAATTATAACGCTACTCGACATGATTCTACCGGTTATACTCCATTCGAATTGATGTTTGCACGCCAACCTCGTTTTCTAGCTGATTTCTCCTCATCAACTACATCCATTTGTCATAATATTCCCCAGTATCATCATACTATGACAAAATTTATTGAGCATGCGAAGATTGCTGCTCGTCTCAACAACCTTCGACACCAACAATCTTCTAAACAACGTTACGATCGATACCGCTCGAATCCTCAATATTCTGTTGGTCAGTTAGTTCTAATTCGTAACCGAGACCCACATATCAACAAGTTCTCTCCACGATTCGTTGGACCGTACACAATTATCAATCGCTTACATGATAAAACATATATTGTTCACAATGACTCTAGTGGTCATCAAGCACAAGTACCTGTACACGATATACGCACCATTAATTAATCTGGTATTTCCTGTTGAACTTATACTTTCGTATGACTCAAACTATACCACAGGCTACATAAAAAAAAACATACTTCATGTTATTTATCTTCCTTTATTTTTCACGTTACTAAATTCGTTTTTTTCGTCGCAGTTATTTTGTTATTCCACGGGATTTTTTTTCTTTCCATTTGTTTCGTTTTCCATTTATTGGTTTGATATCTACTTTCGTGAACAGATAACACCGTTCACTGGGAAAGGGGTGGAGGTGTTAGGTAGTGGGGCTATCTAGGTCCACTACCTCTCTTATCTATCTCATTCTCGTCATTGGTCATTAGGCCAACTTATGTTCTTCTCTCTTTTCCTTTTTTTGAGAAAGAGAAAAAAGAGTAAGAAGAGTTGTTGTAGTTCTTGTTATGTGTAGTTAGCTTTGTTTAAAAAGAAATAAAAGATGTTAGTTGTGTATTGACTAACAATGAGAACATAGATCAACAATCTAGATAGTGTTGATAAAATCTACAAAGAAGATTTCAGTTTTTTTAATTATAATCCTTCTTTTCCCTTTTCTCCAGAGAACGTAAATGACAAATGTATTCCACAAAAAGGTAGAATAAATAATCGAAACATTTATTTTTATTTTAGAAAATTTAAAGAAAACAAAATACACAATTGAATTAATATGAAAACAAATAAATATACGCACAAAAATAGCATTTATAATACCAACAAATATATTTTTTTAATTTTTTCATATTGTCTATTATTTGTAAAAGTTGTTCTTTTTACTGAAGAGATTGTTCTTTTTCTTGAACCAACTATACTAAGTGGAATAATAAACGACGAGTTGATTCCATTAGTACTGTAAAAAGAAAATTCAAATAAATTAATGACTGGGAAGACAACCAAATAAAGAACTACATTATATCTATATATATATATATATATCCTGAAATATTTCTATCGTGAGATGTGTTTGATTTACTGATTTATTTCCTTAACGATCATTATTTTCTTTTTTAATGGACATTATTTTCTATAACCGATAGAAAATGTCCATAAAGCAGCATTTATATAGATGATTCCAGTTATTCAAAGAACGTTTGTAGTCTTCGTTTCAGATCAATACATTGTTTTGTAAATTTTAATCAAATGCGTCCCGCTAATACAATCGCAAGATCATCGACAAAGAAGAACGGCATCGCTTCGGGTATAAAATTCACCTTAATACTGTGATAAGTAATGAATAACGTCGGTGTTAAACTAGAACCTTGTGGGCCACACCCCTGCTAATTTTGATCCATCTCGATCTTTTACGTTGTAACTCAATGGCCAAATGACGATTATTGAACCAGGCATGAGCCGATTTGGCATACACACTGGAAATTCCCATTTGAGTCAAGTTCCCTAGGCATCCTTCAAACTAAAGTTGATCAAATCCAGGTTTAAAGTCAACAAAGACTGTCGCAACCGACGAACTATTTGACATATAGAATGAAATTTGTCCAATAAGTAGTAGGACGCGTGTTTGAAGTCTATGTTCGGCATGAAAAACAGATTGTTTATCCGACAAAATGTCTCGGTCCTGCAATACTTGTAGAAAACGATTAAGAAGCAGTCTTTCTTGGATTTTTAAAAACGAGTCAAATAAAGAGATAGGTCTTGTTTAATCAGGTGCACATATAGCTTTTTCTTAGCTAGTATGCGTAGATATTGATGGCTGTTGAATGAAGAATGATAAAAAGCAGCTGATACATATTGTAAGTTATGTGTTTGTATTGGTTGACAAGAGCACAGATGATACAAGCCAGTTTGATTATTTGAATTGTAACAAATCTTCGAAAAAAGTAGTCAATATCATAATTACTTTTCAACCATCAATAACTCGCTCGATCATCATCTGCTTTGTTTTGTTTGTTACTGCAGCACGATAATAGAACATATTCTTTAGTATAAATTGATTGTCGCAGTAATTTAATTATGTATTTGTAATGCTTAATAAACAGAATGAATTACCAAAGCAATGATATGTCCTTCTGTTCCCAGGGCGATCATTTCGATTGTTTGAATCGGTGTCTTAAAAAGCTATACAGCGGCAGCCATTTTTTTACGCTTTACATCGTTTATACGTCGATTAAGACCCACTTATGCGCCGTTTCGTGGGCCTGGGTTAGCTGCAAGATAAGGACATGTACAAAAATATTCTGTCAGGCAAAGTATGATGTGAAGAGATGAGCATTTATGAACTTTATTTTATTCTAATAATGCTGTGTATAGTCATGCACGTACACCCAACATATCTGTGTTTCTTAGATATAGTGGTTAGCCAAGCAATGTATCAGAAAAGAAAAAACAATCGAAACTCGCGGCATCGAGAATTGTACTTATGATTTAAACGGTAATTATATAAATCGTACCATTTTAATGGAATAAAATTCATTTTTCCCGTACTTTGTTTTTTCATCGTTGTGTATATAATGGATAGAAATACAACTGCATAATAGTTGTCGCTGTATGTCGATCTTCTATTTATTTCTCTGACAATAGAATTAAATTGTTCATTCTTTCAAGATCAGAGTGATCGGAATGAGAAGCGAGAGAACTGTTTCGATGAAATGATGCACTTCAAATTTTAGACGAAAAAGATTTTTTCCCTTACATGTTTAACATGCAAAAGGAAATGAGATATTGTTTGGAGAAGCATACCTTGATACAAATTTTGACTAACGTGAAACACCCGACAGACCTCACCAGAAAACCTTTCTTTCCTCTAATGTATGGATTTTTGCTTCTATATTATTATATGAACTTTAAAAGTCGTGATGTTTAGTTAAATTGGAAACACTTGACGACTAGAAAGTTAACGTAAAGGAAGTTACTGAAAAATATACAGAGAAAGTAGCGTTTGAATGAATCAGCGATACCAATCATTAGCACGGATGAATTCAAAATAAATTCTATTTGTGCAGCATGCAAGCTCATAATTGTAACTTACATTATTAATCAACGATACATTTATATGATAATGGTTAACAGTAGTAGACGGCAATCACATGATCATTGGAGAATATTCAGCGCTTGATGTTCTGTATGGATACATTTATTTTCAATATATGACATCGCTATATATACAAATGTGTGTGCATACAAACAATGAATTCGCCAGCGGTAGGCAGGATGAATGACAGAAGATATATGGTCATGTAACAAAGTAACAATTGCCGCCAATAAAAGTGATAGTACCTATTGATGAAATATTTATTCATTTATAAAGACTACAATCAATTTTTTGTTTAAAAAAAAATAAAAGAAATTGGGCAGCTTCATTTGTTTATCAGGCTTTAAAGACGAAACCAATGTCATGAATAATATTTAATACGTCTAGATTCGCAAAAACCAAATTTCGCGCTGTTGTCATGGTTGAAATCATCTGTATTTCGAGATGAAAACTGAGAATTATTACAATAGTATCACCAAATTACGCCAGAAATATGACCATAGTAGTTTCAAGTCTGTGATCACCATTGTACGAAGCAGAAATTTCGAAATCATTTATTCCTTCATTTATCACAGCAAGATGTAGTTACCTCTTGCTGCTGAACTTTCGATTTGTAGTGAGATTTCATGAAAATTGCCTACAAGGATACTTGTTTTTGTACATATTTGGCACCGAAACGTTCTTAGCTAAATTCGTAGATAGTCTTTTCAACATTGATACAAGACATATAGCTTTATGAGCGGTGAGTTCATTTAAAGTTAAAGGTATATTTGTAACGTTCTTGTTTTAGTTCATATCTCTTAATTGTAAAATATTTTTAAAAAAATCAGAAAAGGATTGCTTTATTGAATAATACAACAGCAATCACTATTGGTTACTGGATGAGATCTATGTGGCGCCGTTATTTGCCTCCTTGGCTGTGGCTGTCTTTGTGATGGAGCTGTAAGTTGCTGCATGGGCTCAAGACAATTCTTTCTCATCCAAGACATCTGGTAAGCCATGATTTTATTCACCTGATGTGTTCGACCACCTATGATAATCGACTTAGCAGCAAGAAACCGATGATGTATTTGGTTAATCATGTAAAATTCATTCGAAAACTCAACACAGAGCTCTTCATTATGGAAGAAGACATCCGGGCTGAAGATGTAGAAAATCATGAGAAGAAATTTCTTTTCTTTATCGGACAACCGTTCCCAATTTGCATAGTCCGAAAAACGACGAATATCCTCATCCTGACCACAGCTAATTACATGGCATACACATTCCAAATAATACATGAGTCGAGCTGTGGGATTGTTTGGTACAGTAACTCGAACAGTTGTCCTTTCAACACCGACTTGCTTACGACCGATAACAACTGCCATTTTATATGGTATTAAAGCGAAAATCAGAATCTTGTTTAAACTAGTGATGAGTTATATAAAAACTGAAATATTACTTTCTTGCTAACATTTATTTTATCGGAAGAATGACATAGTCATCTGACTCTCTATAGATTATGCTTTTCCTAGGAAGAAAGACGTCTTGTTTTATCTTTTACTTTGATAAGACGACTTTGACATCACTATAGATTCTACTCGGATGAAACAACAAGGAAGAAGGCGCAAAAACTTCTATGATCGTATCAATATGTTGAGAGATGGTTTAATATTTTTGAGAAGTTTAAGAGAATTAGACAAATATTTGATCAGTGACATAAATGCTCGTTTCAAGCGGAAAAATGCTTAAAAACTAAACTTACGATACACACACTAAACAAAAAAATACTAACGAAAATATCCCGTTCCCCCAATAACGTCAAACCACTGTAAAAATGAGTTTGCAGCGGAAAAATGAAAAACTCAATTGGAAAAATAGTTTGGATAAGTGAAACGTCATTTTTCCTATAGAGAAAAAATGCTTTCGTATGTAATCGAAATGAACGTACAGGTATTCGCGATAAGAAAAAAAAGGAGTTTCCACGGTACTAAGGACGTTGGTAAAATTTACAGTCGGTTAGATTTTGGTTGACTTTGGTTAAAACAATGATGGGTAAATTTGCATGAAGATGGGATGCCGAAAATAATCATTTACGATATAAGCGAAAGCTTTCATAGTTTGGTGCTGATGCATGACGAATGTCGAAGAGCTGATAAGAAATTTGGTTTCAATGAATCGTTGGGAAAGAAGGAAAGCGAAGAATGAAAATAAAAATGAAAACTACTCATATTTGGTGCTGGTAAAGTTCTGTACAGCATGGAATACGTTGTATATGCACGGATTTTCTTTTCTTAACAGTGACGACAAAAGTACTCGATATGAATTTAGAGTATACACACGCTGACTTATACTTATATAGTTTGCCTTCTGTTATAGACAGAACAGGAGAAGAATTCATTTTTGACCTGAGCGCCATTTTTCTGCTTGAAATGAATATTTATCTCACAGATCGATTGTTTGTCTATTGCTGTTCGTGAAAACTCAAGTGGTATGAAGTAACTTATAATTAAATTGAAATGTTATCACGGATTGAAACCCTATGATGAAATAAAGAGTTAAAAAGTTTTTTTTACAGAGATTCATAAAAGTGTGTCAAAACAAACAAACGAGAACATCGCGGATTTCGTACTTCTTGCCTTGTACTTTTGATATCTTAACTGAAAAGAAAACATTGAGTTTCGTTCGATGATAAAAATGGGTTCAGCAAGTCAATGAACAATACTTAAAACTCCAGAATTTTTTTCAATTTGTGATTGAAATAAATTTTCAATTTTAATGCATGAACTCTTTCGAGATAGTTAGATTCAGAAGTTTGCATAAGACTTGTATACTATATAATGCTGAATCACTCGTTGATAGGACTCTTTCACCAATTATTCCATATGGACTTGATGTGTAAGTATTTTATTTTCGACCAAAGTAAGGTATGGTATATATAAATATATCTTTCTAACATGCAATCACTGAAATACTTAAAATCAAACATAGATATACTTCTTCATGATTCATTTCACGGCATGATTCAGCCACTTTTTGTTGAGTAACAAAATGCTTGGCGATTACTATTGCCATCTATCAATATTTGTTACCATTGGTCCACATCAGTAAATTGTTTACGATATAGAGTCACATTGGAATTGGAATTACGAGAAAAAAAAAACAAAATAATAGCGTACCGTTTTGCGAAGATAAAATTTCCGGTAAGAAAATCTTTATAGTTTTTTTTCTTTTTAATATTACTTTTTAGCTAAGAAATTTTTATTTGTCTTCTAAAACACATTCTATATTCATCGATATTAAACATAATTATATCGTTGTTTTTTAAATTTTCCCACCAGTAGTTGTAAACACATTTGCTAGAGGACCAAGCATATGAACCAAATTATTCAGTGTTCTTGGATACCAATGAATACCATTTGGGTTCATATCGGCTTTAGTAGGAACGCCAAGTATCTGTTTAGCACGATGAACAAAACGTATAGGAGCCATAGCCATATGTCCTAAACTATGTCGATGAATAGATGAGTAGCACGATGAACTAACATTATTAACAATTAAGGTTCCATGCTGAGTTATTGGCGTTGCATAGCCTCGTTGAAGTTTAACGTCAATTGAAAGAATACGTGATGATTGTAAGGTTCCATTTTTTCCAATAACGAACAGCTTATGTTGTTTAGGATCAATAAAACGAGCTTGTACATAGGTTCGATTGCCAACAAATATAAGATGATCCGATGTTATAGATATCCGATGACCGGATTCAGTTGTAAACGTATAGAAAAATGCTAGAAGGATAAATTTGAATCACATAAAATGTTTTTTTCGTCTTCATTTTTACCTTGTGCTTCATTTTCATAATGTAAAAATGAAATAATTTCTGTTGTAACAATTTTATCATCATGATCAATAGCAAGAACTTTATGACCTATTTTAAGATCTCTTATCGGAATTTCACGACCCGTTGAAGTTTTTGCCATATCACTCAACGAAAAGCAATGTGGCTTTGCTAAAGATTAAAAAAAATGAAAATTCTATTTTTTTAAAGCCCTGAGAAAAAAATGAACTTACCAACAAATGGACATTCTTCAGTCAGTTTTTCATCTTTATTTACACAACACTTTTGCGAGAGTTCGATTAATTCTGAAAGAGATCCACGTACAAACTATAATCAATAAATACAAGAACAGTTATTAGCTTGTAAATAAAAGTATTTTCTTACATCTTCACCAATGCATCCTCTTGTTTTTGTTTTAAGACATTCCATAAAACGCTCAGCCATTGTACAAAATCCTCTTATATTACCTTTTGTTGCTTGAACTAATCCAACAGCATCAATAGCAACACAACTAAGAATTGTTGTTGGATCGACTAGAGAAATAACAGAAACATATAGATTCCATTTTTAGAACGTCTATCTACCTTCAACAGGGCAATTAGTAGAAGCTGATGCTATTACATTGAATAAACACAATAGAATTATAGTCAAATAGAGAACACGATGATTGTACATGTTTGTAGGTTTAAAAAGTGAATGAATAAATGAACAAGCTGTTCTTCTCTTTATATAGTTGATGATTATCATTGTAAAATAAAATTCAAATCCGTATTGATCCGACTGTTGTCATGTTTGTTTGCCTATTTATATTTGTTCAATTGACTATCTTGAAAATACATCGACATTTTTTTAAGTCTGGATAAAGCTTTGTCTTGTCTTTTATTATTATCATGTAATGAACACAATGTTCGATTACGAGAGCACACATTTATTCAACTGTCTAAGCTTGTCTTTTTTTTACATAATCTTCTCTTCTATTTTTAGGTTGTTTCGAACAATTATGTTGATTTTAGCTTCAGTTGGTAGTTGGCTACCTTTTGCCATTGTTGCTTTGGTATGTAATTTAAGACCTTTCTTTTGTCTTTTGACTGTTTTTGTTCTTTTGTTAGTTCATTATTTTCTTCTCGGTTATATTTACATTACGTTATCAACAAAAACGGCATCGGGATTATGCAGTCACTCTTGTTTGCTCGGTATCATTGATTATTGCTTTATTAACGTCAAGTTTATTGCCGACGGACGTCATGTTGGTATCATTTATGAAATATCCGAATGGAACATATAAAGTAAGTGAAAAAATATTTCTAAAAAAATAAATATTCCAAAAAACAAACATCATTTAGGAATGGACAGTAAATCAAACAACTCGAGATCATATTCAAAAATATGTCGAAGTCGGATATTATGGTACGTTAATCATTACTAAGTCGTTTTTCAAATAGGTCTCGAAAACATCGTAAGGCAGCAGTAACGATACATAAAAGCTTTTTGTATCAAAGTAAAAAATTGGAGATTCCTCTAAGGTCATACGTCAACGAAGAAATTTGTTGTTAGTCCTCGGATATTTCTATGTAGCAAACAAATATAATCGATGTCTATTTTAGTTTTGTATGGGCTTGTCATTCTTATGGCTTTTCTGATCAATCCATTTCTTTTTTTCTACTATGAAGAAAAGCAAGAGGAAGAAGGTCAAACAGCGAAAGTAGGAAAGAATAGCTGAAAATTTTATTTTACTATATTTTCTCAATTTTGTTTTTTAGCGAATACACTCAGCCGCCAAATGGACAGTAGGCTTTATCATTTTTCTTATTATTCTAATCATACTGGGGTATATAACTTCATTGAATATTATTCTTAAATAATACATTTTCTTTTCTAAATTTTAGAGTATTCGTTCCTCAATTGGCAACATTACCATCCATTAATTCAACAAGTGAATGGGATAATGTAAAATATCTCATCGATCATTTTGATGGTTCACGTAAATAATGAAACTTTATGATAATTTGTTTTTCGTCTAAATCAGTTTAAATTTTCTAGGAGTTGAAGATTCAATTTCATTTACAATCTTCACTTTAAGTCTTATTGGATTTTTTCTTTTAACAGTCTACACGGTAAAATAACTTGAACATGGAATTTCATTTCAGTATTCATTCGTTCACTTAGGGTTACGGTTCTATTGCATGTCCATTATCATTAATTCGTGGTAAACGAAGTGCACGTTTACAACAAGCAACTATTGAAGAACAACGTGCTGAACTACAAAATCAAATACGAGTATTAAAACTTCGAGTATGTAGAAAAGAACGCTCATATATACGCTAACCTATAATCACCGCCTCCGAGTCCGATAGCCTCTACATAAAACTGCGACTTTTCTTTTCAGTATCCACGTCATGTTCCAATGCCAGCTCGTGAAAAACGAAAATTAGCTGAACTCGAACAACAAGATGCAGCTCTGTGTGTTAATGAAGAATCAATAATAACTGTTCGAGAAAGTTTTTTCTTTAAATGTCGCTATATATATCGACCCATACAAATGATTGTTGGACTGCTTTTATTTTGCTTTGCCATACTTATATTCATTTCGCTATTATTAAGCAATATTAATAAGTTGATGCATTTTGTGAGCTTTAAACAAATATTTGCACAAGGCAATCAAACATTACCAAATCCTATTGATCTTGTTTTGACATGGACTGGAAAAGTAAGATTACAAATTTGTTCAAAAAAAAACAAATATCCGCCGTGTTCTTTTTTTCTTCTTCTTACAGTATTATCCAATCAGTTACATTTTTCTAAGTGGTTTAATGATTTATATTATTTTCACGTCTCTTTACGGTTTACAACAAATTGGCATTTGGTATTTTTGGATTCAAGTATGTTGATAATTAAAGTTCTATTGGTTATGTGATTTTTTTTTCTCCTTCTTTAAAGATGTATCGATTTTCTCGTGGAAGAACTAAACCACAAGCAATATTAATGTTGTGTTCATTATTAATGTTTATCGTCGTTGCTATTAATGTATTTGTTTATCTTCTCATTCCTCAATATGCCATTTATGGCGATCAATATTATTCATCTACTAGTACCGTACGTTATCATCATTAATCTTGTATTTCATGTATCATTCTTGAATATATTTAGAATGGAACCATCGTTGTTAAATCATGTACGCAATTCGTAACAACAGGTAAAATTCCTGGAAAAGTTACCATACATTTTATTAGAAATATGTTTTTCCAGATGACTGCCAAATGACAGTAATGGGTCGTATTATACTTCGATTTTTCTATAAGGTTTGGTTTTTTGGAGCTATCTACTTTTGTCTCAGCTGGGTATATCTTGTTGTAAGTATTACTTAACATCTAGCATAGACTCTAGTCACGAATTATTTTATTTTTCTGTAGATGTTTGTGGTTAGTTTCTTTTGGAAATTAGTTCGCAATCGTGAATCAAACATTCAAGAATATACAGTTGAAGCTCTATTAGAAGCCGGTGGTGAAGATGAAGATGATCCTCTAATTGGATAACACTCTTATTCAAAAAGAAAACATAACTCTGAATCTATTTTTTCTTGTCTCATTTATTTATCTCGATTCAATCGATTGTATTGTTACTGATCAAAATGTATATAGATCTATATTTGTACGTGTATGTTCATCTCATCTCATCTCATTTTATTTATTTTTTCGAATATTAAAATTCTAGCCACGTAAATTTCTTTAATTTTTCCTTAATAGATTAATCAAGATGATTTTAATGTTTATATGAAGGAAATCTGGCCAGAAATGATATGAGAAAATATTTATTGCACATAGTCTCGAACTGTTGACATGTTCCGGAATGATTCAGTTTGTGTTGATTTTCATATTCAAATTGATACGTTACTAAAAGACCCCCGACAGTGATTAAATTTCCTTGATGAGATTAAATGAAAATAGAATTTTTATTATTCTGCTCATCACATTAAGTCCTTATTCATTTACTAATCGTATTAGTCTTTTGAACTATTTCAGATGTCAACTGATATTTCACCTTTAAAGTCAGAAGAAATTCAATTATTTGAATTAGCTCGTCTATCGAATATAACAATTGACGAACGTATGTTTAAAATCATTCTTGAATTGCTCAAACTGAATATCAAACCGGAAGCTATCATTCAAGTGTTGAAAGTATTGGCAAAACAAGGATTAACATCGGCAACGTCTTAATATATCGTTCTTTTTTCTTTGTTAACCTTTTTTTCTTATTCCTATGATAATATTCAAAAACAAAACCATCCGAGAAAAATAAATATAACTTTAGATTAGTTATTATGACAGTTTCTTGTTTGAAAAATCATTGTTCACCATCGTTACTTACTTCATTGACGAATCGTATTGCAAATTCAAACAATAATCATTGATTAAATACAAAACAACTACTACTCTAGCTTCAAATATGAGTGATACATTTTATGTAACACCTGCCGATGAAATTGAAAAACTCGAAGATTGGAAATATCCATTGGCATTTCAAGCAGCTCATCATCATGAAAATCTGAATGTTCCGGAGACAGTTGAAGTTGAATGGCGACTGCGAGATCGAGTATGAATGAAAAACAATAATTTAATTTGCTTATATTTTGATTTCTTTCTTTGTATAGATGAAAACAGTTAGTGTTGCACTTGTTATGTGTCTTCACATAGGCGTTGACCCGCCCGATGTAGTTAAAACAAATCCATGTTCAAAGCTTGAATGTTGGATTGGTAAATTGATTGTTCTTTGAGATTTTGTAGAATGTTACGAAATGAATTCTTTAGATCCATTTTCAATGACACCTCGTAGAGCTCTAGAATCGATCGCTGCTGAATTACAACGCCAATATGAACGATGGCAATCGAAAGCTCGATATAAATCAAGTCTTGACCCAACACAAGATGACATTAAAAAACTGTGCCTGACTTTACGGCGCAATGCTAGAGTATGTATTTAAATTGAAACTATTATCAACAATTTGTTTTTCATAATAGTTATGTTTGAGATTCGTTGAGAGTCAATATTGTATCGGTAGATTGAATTTCTCATCTGATTATAGTCTCACTAATAGTAAGATAAGATCGTCAAAAATAAAACGCGGACATACTTTCTCCTATATCTGACTAACATACACTTAGGCCTATTGAAATCATCCAAAAAGCAAGATGTTTCAAGATTTTAAATCGCTTTATTTTTATAGGAAGAGCGCATTCTATTTCATTATAATGGCCATGGTGTTCCACGACCGACAGCTAACGGAGAAATTTGGGTATTCAATAAGAATTTTACTCAATACATACCATTATCTTTATATGATCTACAAAAATGGATGAGTTCACCTTCAATTTTTGTTTTCGATTGTTCACATGCCGGTGTTGTTCTGAATTTATTTGTTAAATTTGCTGAACAAATTGATAAAGAGCTTGACGACGCTCGAAAAAATCTAGCGCAAACTCCTTTAATCTCTTCTACTTCGACTCATCCAGCATCCCAGATAATACCACTTCTTCCTACATCGTCACCTGTGCAAGATATTTTACTTGGCGCTTGTGGTGAAAATGAACTTTTACCTATGAATGCAGAATTACCAGCTGATTTATTTACATCTTGTTTAACTACACCTATTAAAATTGCACTGCGTTGGTATGTTTTACAGAAGAATATAAGCCGTCTTAATCCAAATATTGATCAAGATATGATTGATAAAATACCTGGCACAGTCACTGATCGAAAATCAATGTTAGGCGAATTAAATTGGATATTTACTGCTGTAACAGATACCATCGCTTGGAATTCACTACCAAAAGATACATTTCAACGTTTATTTCGACAAGATCTATTAGTTGCTTCACTCTTTCGAAATTTTCTTCTCGCTGAAAGAATTATGCGGTCATATGGTTGCCATGTTTGTTCAAGACCAGCACTACCACCTATGTTCGAACATCGATTATGGTAAGTCGATTTAGTTTCTTGTTTTTTTCTTCTTCTCCTGATGTGTTAATATTCAGTTTGAAGATTTCGTATTTTTATTCTATTCGATTGGAAATTTCTCGTTGCTCTAGAATAGAAATTGGGTGTGAGTGTGGCTATGTATTCATTTCAACTAGGTTCACATCCACATAGCTCCTTCAATCTTTAATCATACAAAAAAATTTGAATCTTCGAACTGAATTTTAATTTCTGATCGTTTCGACAAAAGCAATTAATATTTCTATAATAAATGTCTTCTCATTAGGAATGCATGGGATATGGCTCTGGATTTATGTCTTAAACAATTACCTTCAGTATTAAAACAAACAGATAGTGGTGTCCGTGAACCGGTTTATGAGCCGAGCTCATTTTTTGCCGATCAATTAACTGCATTTTCAGTGTGGCTTGGTGAAAACTCTCTATTAACAACAACATTAGAAAGAGAACATTTAAAACAACCCGAGCAACTACCTATCGTTTTACAAGTTAGTTTTAGTTTTGTGTTGTCATTTAAAATTAAAATTAATTACTCTCGTTCATAGGTTTTACTCAGTCAATCACACCGACAAAGAGCACTCGATTTACTTGCTCGTTTTCTTGATATTGGTACATGGGCTGTTCATCTTGCTCTCTCCGTTGGCATATTTCCATATGTACTCCGTTTATTACAAGCAACAAGTGACGATCTGCGGCCCTATCTTGTTTTTATTTGGGCAAAAATATTAGCTGTTGATCGAGTATGTCGCAATGCTACAATTATTGATTTTCATAAATCTTTTATTTTCTTTTCTGTTCAAATGTAGGCTTGTCAAATAGATATTATACGTGAAAAAGGCCATGAGTATTTTATTTCAACATTAACTGATGCTCGATCATCGAATGGTGTTCGTGCATTAGCTGCTTTCAATTTAACTTGTTTAGTTGATAATTATACTAGAGGACAGGTATACATCAATTATTCTATTGTAGTCTGAATAGTAAATAAAGTTCACTGTGAAATACGTTCCATAACGGATATTTGTGAAGAAAATATTTCTGACACATCCAACAGAGTATTTTTCACAGTTCTTATGGTTAACATACTCACGAACGAAAACTCTTCCAATAATATTCGTTATCGGTTGAATTCGATAGTGAACTTCATGACGCTATTATTCACAAACAACGTTTATCTTCTATTTTAGGACGAATTATTATCAGTCATGCCTCGTGTACTTGATATTTTAAATACTCCTACTACATTTCTTTATGAAACATCAGCTCTTTTTCTATGGTGTACATTATTTCTCGGACAAGCCTGGCGTTTAAATTGCAATGCTTGCGAAAAAGCTGTTCTTATTCGTGCACCAGATACATTACAAACACTACTCGCAACGCATGATTCTCCTGAAGTTCGTGCTGCTTGTGCCTATGCTCTCGGCACTTATTTATCTTCGTCAGCGTCTGGTATCGAATTAAGCGAACGACGAAGTGAACAATCCAAAGAAGTAGCAACTGTTCTTGTGCGTAGCCTCAACGATGGCTCTCCGCTTGTTCGACAGGAAGTTCTCGTTGCTTTACAACATTTTTTGATTTTATTTGCTCAAGCTCCTACTAGTGGAACGAACGTTGCAAGTAATCCTAATCGAGCTGGTAATTTATTAAATAAAACTGTTTTTTATAAAGTTACAGAAGCAATACAAACTGTTGCTTCGTCTGATCCATCTCATGAAATGGTGCAATTAGCTGAAGCAGTTCTTACACATTCATCAGAAACGTTGAACACAACATTTTTTCAATGGTGCTGTAGTCGATTTCGTGAATCAAATACAATAGTACGAGATCTTGGATCTGGCATTGCACAACAATGTGGTGCTTTATATTCTGAAGATGAACTTGATTGTTTTGCACGTAGTGGACGTTATTGGCGTAATCATTGTATACGTGCGAATCCTAGTAAACTAGCTGATTTTCAACATATGCGTGAGACGATGTTCAATAATCGAGTATCAAATGCTATTCCACTCGTTCTACGTCTTCATCCATATGAAAATTATTTAACTGTGGCGAATTCAAATGGAAATTTAAATTTCTATGAATTCGATGGAACTCCACGTTCAAAAACAACATTAAAGGTTATTGAATTACTTCCGAATTATTATCATATATCTACTAAATGAGAAATTCTCCTACTAGTAAAATACTGAATTTAGTTTTGCCGGAATCATTTAGACGTGCAAGCTTGAACAGTCAAATATTTTCTCATGAGAACAATAATTATTAATTTAATTTAATTTTCTACTGAGTCAACTGTATCGCCCTCAAATCTTTCGTATTTATATACTTATGAAATCTAATCTTCTTATATAGGTCGGTGCAATCGGTTCAATAATCGATACATTAGATTTTATTAATGCACACGATCGAACATTAATTTGTGTTGGTACTGATACTGGTGCTATTCGTATATTCGACGAATCCACTCAACGTCTTATTTCATCATGGATAGCTTTATACGATCATCAGACTCAACTTCATCCATCTCATCATCGTTCAGCGGCTAAGTCTACGGTGAACACAAGTATTTCTACAGCACCAGTAAAATTTAGTGTCGATTGGAATCAACAACTATGCCGGATATATGCATCAAGTTCTATTGTTGATTACATAGCATTATGGGACGTTGAACGTGAACGTTGTCTATATACAATGGACACCGGTACATCTGGTGGTGTTCATTGTCTTCTATCGGATTCAAATGGCTATTGTGCAGCTGGCATGGGTGACGGAACAGTCCGTTGCTTTGATACACGCTCACGAGAAAGCGCCGTACATATAATTCCACCGCCAACACCATTAAATCGTCATTCTTCAATAGTTACTCTGAAATTTGATGGAAACGATCGTTTAATATCAATAAGTAATATGGAACAATTAAGGCGATGGGAATTAAGAACAGGCATGAGTTCTGAATTAGCTGTACCACAAACATCACAACATATATCATCAGCTGATGTTCATCCAACAGGTAAAGTTTTAGCATTAACGACAGCGAATGCTTTACAATTGAAAACATGTTACGGTGACCTTCTCTTCGATATCAAACATTCAAAATTTGCTCAAGTATCATGCTTATCATTTCATCAATACCGACAGTTACTTGCTGTTGGATTTAAAGATGGTTCGTTATCGATGTTTACAGGAAAAACAAATTCATCAAGTCTATGATGACTTCCTTTTTCTTTTTCGTGCACTTTGTTATTGTTGGTTCTATTTTTTTTTCTACTGATTCAGATGATTTTTTTTGCTAATAGATTTCTACTGTTGATGGTAGTGGAAATTTGAAAGCTGCTTGTTTTTGTTTTTTCGTATTCATTTATACAGAGAGAATTTTTATAAAACAATTCTGCACCAGTGATAATGTGTTTTTTCTCGCTTTAAACAAATTCTTCGAGTGGTAAACACGATAAATAGAATCGTTTACTGAGAATTTTCTCTCGTGAACATTTCAGTTCTGTGAATTGTGCACTTATATTTGCTAATTTTTTTCTTTGATAGAAAAATAATCTAAATAAACAAGCCCAATTTTCATTCTATTCTTTTGTCAATTTTAATTCTTATCCAACAACAAAATAAATAGTAGGCATTCAGACAGTCGTTTCAGTGCATTTTTCAGGGTCACCAGTTCGCATTGGCCAGAGCTGGGCGAAATACTCGAAGTACTCGTACTCGAGTACCATTTTGGTCGTACTCGTACTCGTACTCGAGGGTGAAGTACTCGAAGTCCTACACCAACATTAATTATATCAAAATGATGCTTGATAAAATCATAATGTAGATTTTTTCAAGAAAGAACAGTAGATTTCTTTCTTTTCTTTTATATTTATATATATATATATATGTATTCTGAATGAATCATTCAGATAAATATTTATCCTTCTTTATATGAACTGGGTCTGGAATACTTATCGGTGTCGGCTACATCAGCACCTATTGAAAGAATATTTTCTCAAAGTGGATTTGTAATGCGCCCACATCGCGCATCGTTAACGTCAAAAAATGTATGTTTGATTACATTTAAGAAATGTAATCAAGTTTTGTTGTAGTTTTTTTTTTGAAAATTGATAATAAACGTAATTTAAAAATATTGATTCATGACTAAGACTATTTCTTGATCTCACAATTGATACGTAATCTCTAACACTACCAATTAAATTTTCTCTAATAAGTTCGCGACAAACACATTCTCATACCATGTACTCGTACTCGTACTCGAAAAAGTCCGTACTTGCCCAGCACTGGCATTGTCTATGGAAAACAAAGCAACATTGATTATCTTTCATTCTAATAGTGTGCCTATGAATAACACAATTTCATGTCATATTTTCTAACCCATAAAGTTATGCCGAGAGAAAAATGGCGAGCAGTCAAGTAGGAAAATTTCAAACTGATGGCATCTGCCCATATCATCGTAGTCGAGTTAAATAGCTCAATTATTTCCACAAAAAATATTTTTCTAATAGATAAATTGATAAACTAAGCATGCAATATAAATCTAATGTATTTCCAACATATTCTCTTTGATGAACTATGCGTCTTTCAGTGCATCTTCTAAGACTTTTGTGTCACTTCACAACATCTATGTATCAAAATTAATATTTATATGCTGACTTCCTGACCGCTATAACTAGTTTTGATACACATGTTTCATACATACAATTGATGTTGTCAATATAAAGATATAAATCATTAGCTGAATATAGTGTCTGACAGTTTTATTTGTTGCGCTTGGAATCCAGACTTGTTTTTCTGAAACACGACTGTTGTATATCGAGCTAATGTATCAGAAACAGTTGCTATGTTGTAATATTCCAATAGCAGATGGGAAAGTGCGAAAGAAATAGTAATATAATTGTGAAGGTGATACGAGATATAAACCTAGTTTACTTTATTTTCTAATTGAATATTTTATTTTTAACACTTCTAGTGAAAAATCATAGGAAATGACATGTCATGGAAGTAACTATTGTCGGAAACGACCTATCTGGGGAACAACAATCGTGCGTTCAAACGTATTTTCTTCTCCGACGACTTAAGCTCGCTATACGTTGTCTCTAAAAATATCTCGTTGATCGTCTTATTCGCGTTAAATGAATAACAGTTGGGCTTATCCTTTATTCTCAGCAAGTTCCAATAGGCTCTCTCGGTCTCTTTAGTACACCACTTGTCATTCATACAAGTACAAAAAGAAAATTACTTCTCTTCGTCATATCGATATTGCGAAGCAAAGAAAAAAACGCCATTCATAAATTCGATTCTGTTTAGTAATTGAATCTACTTGAAATCAAAATCAAATAAGTGAGAATATTTTAATAGTCAACCGATCCTATGCTATGAAAGATTCTCGGTCAAGTTGTGCTTACGAATCGATTCGACATGTGATTAATCTTATCAATGTCTTTCATATATTCCCAAAACACCATGTGAATTGAAATATGGCATCTTGTACATGAACAATAAGACTAAAGACCAACATAAATTATTCTCGCTATTTTACTCGCCGACAAAAGAAATTACAGAAATCTGCATTTTCTCCTTGTATATAACTGTCAAGAGTATTTTTAGCTAATTCAATGTTTTCCTAAATGTTTCTGTTCATAGAAAATACCCTTGAAAATGAAAACAATCAGTTATACGTTGACATCTTTGTTTTGTCATTCTATTTTGTTATGTTATTACGTAGTTTTTGGATTCTCAATATTTAATAGGCTATGCTAAGAAGATAAGATAGACAACTGGCGACATCCACGAAGTCATTGTTTTCTAATTGAGAAAACCCAACGATAAAATAACGTACTTGCGACCGAATTCTTTTCTATTGCATATTTGAACTTCATGATTTATTAAACATGACATTATCAAAATAGAACATCTAAGAATTACGAGAATATTCTATTCAACCCCTTGGAAGTTCTTAATAGAAAATATTCCAAAAAAAATTAATATTTCTTTTCTATCATGACAACGTCAATTTAGATCCTCGAGAATCTTCTCTAATTACTTCAATTGTGATCCGTTTTCTCTCTATTAAATAAATAATGGCTTTAATTGACAGCAAATTTTTATTGAATATTAATAGAAACTATGAAACTTTCTTCGACTTATTAAATCTCAATTGAAATTTCCGTAATTCAATTATTAGAAAAAAGGTATATTTTCTTGTTTTCATCTATTTCAATGCTGGTGATTACAAAAATATTATTTTGCCATTTTTCGAACATAGAATTGTTGTCTATTGTAGGCAAGGAGGAAACGGCGGGATTTTGGACTTGAAGTTACTTTCAGCTATTTGAAGTAACTTACTTTGAAGTACTTTTCAACTTCAAATTTTTCTGAAGTTACTTGAGGCTATTTTAAGCTACTTGTTTCTACTTTGAACTACTTGGGTGGAACTTTGAGCTACTTCAAGCGGTCTACTTTGAAATAATTTGGCGTACTTTTCTACTTCAAGTCCGCCGTTCCCTCTTGATTGTAGGAGAAAGACAGAGATAAAAGCATGAATAATGATTATAATAATAGCTTAAATAGAGAATTGCATTGAAAGTATCTCATTATATTTTAGAAATTATGAAAAACTTTTTGGTCTAAATCTCTATTGTATTTTAATTGTTTACAGAGATGAAAAAAAAAAGAAAAGTATGAGTAGATTGTTTGTTGTAAGTGTAAAAACCATCATTGAATAATGTATATTTATGTACACAGTTTGTTTTTATCATATTCTTTTTAAGACGAATCATGTCCAGTACTATCAATCGATGATGGAAATGATAATAATGAAGGAAAATATGTTTTCGGCTTGTAATATGATCGAAATAATGATACAGATCGAATAATTGTTTGATAGAAATGTGCATTTATTAATAGGCAAAATAAATGAAAAATAAGTGATGCCGTTGATTTAAATTTCATTTCACTTGTTTTAAGAAACCATAAAGAAACTAAATGAAAAGAACATTTTTTTAAATTTATTTCACACAACGGAAAAGAAAAGACTTACTAAAAAATGATAATGAATGGAATAAAGTAAGAGAGACTAGAACTAGTTGTAGACTATTTTTGTCTCCCGATCGAAGTGTTAAACCAAGGATTGCTGCCAAAACTAAATACAATTCCTTTTATTTGTCAATGTTCAGCAAAACAAAATTATGGTATCCTACAAGCATAAGTTGAAGCAAGATGTAATGTTGATTCAAAACTACCGAGTAATATGAGTCGTAGCGAGGACGGCCAAAGTAGACCCTATCGAACACAAATACGGCGTTTGTAATTCAATAATTTTCATTATATTATTTACCATCACAGTAAAACAACTGAATATTGTCGTTGTTAAAAGTAGCCATGTGGCTAGTTTTGGTGGTAGTTGAAAAATTAATTGGTCTGAATGCCCAAGTATTTGAGTAATTTTTGAACCTGCTGTATCGCCAACACCTAATAGTTTTCGAGCTTTAAGACGACTTTGCAGATCTCCACAACTACTTTTCCTAAAATGAAATATGACTTTTTTTCGTTTAAAATATGTATTCCACTAGAATAAATTTTTATTTATTCATCACAAAACATAAAATGACGAACCTACCTGATTGAAAGCTGCATGAATAACTTATCTATTGAATGATGAATAGACAATGAATAACTATGATAAACAGTTTGTTATGGTAATTCAATCGAACGTGTGAAGAAATAGAAGAAAAAATTTTCTTCTTCTATATATCGTGACAGGAGACTAATAAGAAATAGATATGTTAGTCATAGCTATGAATCGAAATCGTTTAGAAGAAAACGAAGGAAACTAAGTTTCATTATGCCTACTGTAAATAACGGAAAAGAATAGAACAAAACAAATAGAGATGCCGAATAAGATGAAGAAGAAAATAAGAGAAGAAAAGCCAGCTCGATGAAAATAGATAGATATTCTGTCTGTTTTGTATGATCCTATACGGCTGTTGCTGCCGTTGTTAGTATTCTTGGCATACTAACTATTAATCTGTGGATCTGGCAACTCAAAAAAAAAATGACAGAAAGGAAATGGAACGAGAAAGGATTTTAGATTTCTACAGTAAAATAATTGCCATATGGTAAAGAGCAACACATTATATTCATCAACGTAATTGAACAAGTTTTATTTCTACTAGAGAAATACATACATGATTAAATCTGGTTTGTTTGAACTGTGTAGAAGCATTTTAGATGTTAATATACAGGATTAAACATGATATTGTGATTTCTTTCCCATACATATATATATATATATGCATGTTACATTCCTTTTTGCATCTGGAAAATAAAAGATCAAGAGAAAAAAAAAGAAGAAAAATCCAAATGAACATTAAGTTGCTGCATGTCGCTATAACCAGATAAACTTCTTAGTCTGTCTTTCGCCGACTATACTGCATGTGTGTCAGTCGAGGTTGATTAATAAAATCATAGATATTTTGATTGTGACAGACATAAAATCGTGATCGACTTCTTATTTTCAACTGACACACCATGCATCAACATTCTATGACGTCAGTAAGAGACGTGCTAACCCATCAAGTACTAGGTGTATATAGAGAGTGTAAAATACTCGAAAATGCATATGCGTGATAGGTCACGAGAGAGGAAGAGCCCGTAAGCTCTCTTCCAGTTCTGTATGGCTTCATCGTAAAAACTTTTTCTTTTTTATCGAGTGTCTATTAGAATTTCGTACATGAATATAACACACAACAAAAATTATAGCAGACTCTTATCAAATTAATAAAAGAAAAAAATGCATGAATAATATTCAGCAGCTGTCAGCTTATAATAACCAGCTACTATCGCGTGTTTGGGCTTGTCTAAAATATTGATCCTATGTGCGCGTATTCTTCATAAAAGAGAAAATTTGCTCACTCCGTCATGACATGTTAGACTTAATTAGATTATGAGTAGGCGTTCTTCTAATCTTCACAATATTTATTCCAGTATATTATAATATCTCGAGTAATGCTTGTGCAAATCTACGATTTATATGGTCAAATAAATATGGGATACTAATCGATGAATAAATTTTAGATGCAGGTTTTTCTTTGTATCGAGCTTCGATAAAAACATATGTTTTATGACGCACGTCGAAAATAAAATATTTAGTCAATGATTTGGCAAGAAACGATAAAACAATATGTTCTCGTTTTCATCATTGACGATGTTCGTTTTTATCCGTCGATTTATCTAATAGACGCTAGACAAGTCTTAAATAATAATTGTATGCAGAGATCATTTAGTTGCGCACAACAAAAGTACCAGATGGAATTCACGCTTGAATAATCATTCGCTAATCAATTATACTATTGTTCTAGGCAAGGAACGATTCGATTAAACGAGTGTACGCAGTGATATTTGTCGAAGGTCATAGTTGATATGCAACTCGATAGTAATTCGATTTTTAGTATTAACTTAATAGAAAGTGCTAACGTCGCCGATGATGACGTCCTTGCTCTTCAACTGACTTGTCTTCTGTCTCATCGACATAGTTTATAACATAAACTATGTGATGTGTTCTAGTTGTTGATTCTACTCATGTTTGAACAGTTGAATTTATAACATCAAAAATAAAACTGAAATCAATCAATGATGAAAGATCTGCATAATCCCATATAAATATATATTAAATTCTTTTCCGTTCGTTTTCTTTTTTATGTGTAAATTTTTACACTGTGATGTGATATATAAATGGCAACCGACAACGACGGAAATAACAAATTTCTATCGATCTAATTTGGATGAGAAATGAAAAATTAGAAATGCACATAAGACAAATGTATACAAGTAAATGGTTATTACAATACAGACGAATCAATTAGGATATGCCTTTGATGTTTTTGTTACGTCTTATTTCTATTGTAAACAAAAAAGGTTCTGCGATAGTTCATCGTATTCATTTTGTAAAGAACCGGCTTGCTTTTGTTATTATTCATGTTCGTAAAAATGTAATATTTAGATATTCTATTTTAATCAGGCAAGGATTAGAGCTTTGATATTTCTTTCGGTTTAGCTATCTATTTAAACTTTCTATCTTAAGGCGTATTTAACAGAGCTTGAGATTCAGTGAATCATAAAAAGAAAATTGCAACATGAAATCGGTTATTATCGGAACTACAAATTATATTGTCAATTTTGAAACTATTCAAGTTTGGTTTCCTGTTATGTTCTAGACATGGTGATCTTCGCGATTTAATGTATTTCATAAATTTATCGTTTGTTTACTATTGATTAATGTTATGAGATTGTCAAAAATAAAAAAGAAAGTCTTACATCACCAATCAAATTATTAGATTGCGATGATGAAAATAAGAGTTAATCAAACTGTCAATTTGATTCTGTTTCGTGATATTTTCAAGTGTAATCAAGATACCGCTTTTGATGGCTCATTTTTCTCAAGATTCTCAATTGAATAGTAGAGATTAATATATTTATGTGAATGAATGATTCGATTGTTTCCGGTGTTTTATGCTATAAAAGTCAATATCTTACTTCTTTGTTTGACAAATTAGAATTTTTTATTTTTAATATTATATTAAATTCGTTTTCATTAAACAATAACACAGTAATAAACATTTTTAGCTATGAAAACAATAATCAAGTGTTTCCACACAATAAAATAGTTGATTGTGAGTTCTGTTCTAATAGGGCCAAGAGCGAATTATTGAAAAAGAATATAATTATATTGTTTTCAATTAGAAACTATTCAGAATTCGGATTCACATAAATTATGGAGTCCAGGTATAATTCTGCCTGTCAAATTGTGAGCACTTTGGTGCTAATTAGCTACATTTTTTGTCTTTCAATAGGACATAACTCCTAGCCTGGCCAGCCGCAGCCAAGTACTTTTCTTCAGCAAGCAAAATGTTACATCGATGTTTAACATAATTACTGTACGATAAAGTTAATGAGTATGGCATTAAAGTAGTTAGTGTATCCGATAGTTGTATCAGTAGAAAAACTAGATATTTATTTTAAATCAAAATCATAACCTGAAATGAATGCGAACAAACGAATAGCACCTATATATATCATATTCATAGCAAAAATTGTATAATCAATGGATTGACAAAAAAGACGCAATCTGTAGTTGACATTCGTAGTATCATCATGGCTATATCAATTGATGTCTAATAAACACAAAAGAATACTATGAAGTTAGAAGAACTTTTCGGTGGTTCTTTTTTTTTTCTTTCGTTTGAAAGAAATAATCATTATCCTATTCTTGCAAGTAAATATAGCGAAGATGTGACATCTTTGTAAACAGGATATTCTTCGACATCCGTGTATGCATATGTATGTACACAAAAACAAATATCAATATCTAATACCCATCACCTAATTGACAAACTAATTACACGTGCTGTTTGTCTCTGTCTGTCTGTTGTATATATTAGGAAAAGGATCGAAAGATTGAACACGAATGATCCAATCGTTAGATAGGGCGGACGAACTCGTGCCCATCAACGATAATCCCTCGTCAATATAATTCGTAGAGAGTACGCCCTTTATCATCGTACAAAAAGAAAAAGATGCGACAAGAGAGAGAGAGAGACAAGAGAGTTGGTCAATACTAAATTTTGTATAAATAGACAACGTTTCTTCAGTATTCATCATTCGAAATATGATCAGAGCGAAAAGGTAAGTACACACGAAGAAATCTTAGATAAGTTTCGAAATTGTAGAGCAGCTGAATTTCATCTTACCAAACAGCATTAGTTCGATTAAATTGAATTGCTAATACTGTCAGGTAAAGATGGCCTAAGGACGCTCATTCAACGAAAACAAAAGTTAAAAAAATTCATTTTGTTCGATGTTTCTTTTTTTTCGAAAAATTAAAATATTTAATTTCAGATCTGCAGCTTGTATACTATTCAGTATTATTCAATTAACCGAGATAGAATATTATATTTAAACAGTATTATTTGAGTTTTCTTGCTTTAGTAAAATAGTCTCTAGTCTTAAAGGCTTTATTACTGATCAATAACGTAAAGTTTAATCTTTGTCTTCGATTAACTTTATTATCTTCAACGTGAGCATTTGTATCACGTCGCGTTTAACATGACGAAACGACTCAATACTTCATAGTACTGTTTTAAGCGCATTATAACCAAAAACAGAAAAGAATAAAATGAACAGCATCAGAAAGAAATCATTTATATTAATCAAGAGTAATAGCTCGACGCAAGAATAGAAAAGATCTTATAGAATCAAAGATTTTTAGGAGTGCATTGGCGAAAAAAAGTTCAATTATCAAACTCACGAATATACCGAGCGATGGTAACTGAAAATTGTATACTGTACAGTCAAACTGCCACGGCCTCTATTGAAAAATAGCAACTGGATAACTGCCAATAGAGAATCGTTGAATATGATTCATACATTTCTCACTAGGTTCATTGATTTGATTTCTTAGTAAAACTTTTGATAATTGAATAAAGTAGTAGTATTATTATTATAAGTCAATGATGATCAAGTCTTCATCGATAGCCAAGGTAAAATCTTAATTTGCTTTTGAAGAATTGCCAAAAAGATGTGTATCTTCATTAGATTCTTCGTCATTGTTCTGTCTTTCGATCTATTCAACGTTTTGAAAGTTCTACAACAACATCATTTCCTCGTAGGACCACTTTGTTTTTCTTTATTAGAATTAATTGAATAAAATCTGAATGATATATTTTAAGCTGAGTCACCAGCAAGTCCTATAACTCAACAACTTCCATTGATTGTTAGTCGACAAATTGAATATCCTCATATACGTTATCCGCCGCTACAAGCTTGGCTTGAAACATTAGGACAAAAACGAGATGAAAAACTAGGTCTTGTCGATTTGCACCCATCGATTTGGCAAACATCACCAAGGTATTCACTCACTTATTCTATTGGTCGACTCATGTCATCTCTATTTCAATCGTAGATTGGATATTCTCTATGAAAATGTTGAATGGCAGAAAACTTACAAAAAAATTGTATGCTAAGTTCCTTAGTGAGTTTATTCGTATAAATTTTCTTTTCGAAATCAAGGATTGGGCATATACACCTCCACATCATGAATATCCAAATATGCGAACGAAACCATGGCCACAAAAAGGAACTGGTCGAGCACGACATAAATCGCGTTTTGGTCCACAATGGAAAGGTGGCTATAAAGTCAATGGACCCAAAGGTCCAACATCATTTTTCTATGTTCTTCCAAAAGAAAAACGCGTCGAAGGTCTTTGTACAGCCTTAACTGTTAAACTTCATCAAGTATGTTCGATTAACATACAAAATTCATTAATTCCATTTTCTTTTTCGCCTCAATTAGAATGATGTTCATATTGTCGATTCGCTTGATTTACCAACTCATCAACCAACAGTACGAATTTTATCGTGTTTTGTGAAACCTGATTCATATCTTACCTGGATTATGCTAATGACTATCTTTTTTATTTTATAGTATCTTCAAGAACTAGCAGAGGATCGTTTTTGGGGCCCATCAATTCTCTTTGTTGATGAGTATGTTACCTAGCAAATAATAATAATAATAATCACCGACTAATTATTATTTTGTTATTGTAGTACGGATATTATGCCACATAATATTATGTTTGCAACTGCTAAAACCGAAGGATTTACGTTGATGCCTGTTTATGGTAAAAAGATGCTTTTTTCTAATCTAAATTTTTCATCGTTGTTGACTTTTAGGTTTGAATGTTCACAGTATGATAAAGCATACAACATTGGTATTGACCATACGAGCATTGAATAAAATAGAAAAAAAGCTTCTACACGCATTGCATTCATACGATACACAAAAAGATCAGCCTCCAGCACCGGATGAACCTTAATTTTTTTCATTTTTTTTGATTTGCTAGAAGAATAAAATTACAAAAAAAAAAGAAAACTTGATATGTTTGTTAATTGTTTCAGATAAATAAAATGTCAGTTAATATCGACCTAACACAATCAAAAGTTAGCAATAAGAAATTGTTTGATTATCGTATTGTTTGATTTTATTTAGAATGATCATGTTGATTTATTAGAACCAACGAATGATTCTTTGAAGAGTCAAATTTTAATTGTATCTGATCAGAGAAAAAGTGAATATTATTTTATTTTGATTTGATTTGACTTTAATTTGTTTAGATGATCGTACTGATACACCACAGCCTGGTAATGGTAAGAATAGAATAATAGTGATAGTCACCTTTGGGATTCGAAGGTCTTTATCCGTACTACACAAATAATCCGAAAGGTCTGCATAAATTTTTACATGACAAATAGAATTTAATGGTCTATGGTTCTTAGTTTTGGGTCGAATTCTATTGAGAGTAGATCTATGTTCGCTGGTTTCCTGTAGTTCAGAGAAAATGTTCGTAATGAACAAGAATTCGATAGACTATCTCTATTGATTTATTTAACAATAGACTGTCAGCTAAAACAAACATTATCAAATGAACAGCAATGTCCATCGAAAGATTACGATGAACAAACGGCTTATCATCGTCTCCTCTATACAGAAACAAAATCAATAACTGAAAAAATGGATGTTTGGTATTTAGATATGAAAAAAAATCTGATGGTAAGAATCTGTGCTTTTAATTTTTGATTTAATGAATTTTGTTTTCAAGTATGAATTTGATAGATTACGTTTACAGTATCTTGAAGAAGCACAACAAAATAATTTACGTGAAAAAGAAATGTAAATTAAAACTCGATGTCAGTAAAAATGTAAATTACTGTTTTTTTTTCTAATTTTTAGTCAAGTGAAAGATTATGTTCGTCTGAATGAAGATATAAAGATAATGCGTGAAATGTTAATACATTATGAACGTAAAATAGATCAAAAAGATCAAACAGAAAGTAACGTTAATAAAGCATTAGATATACTTTCTAAAAAAATGGTTGCCTATCGTCATTATTATGAATGGAGAATTATTTTTATTGAAAAAAAACGACAAAAATATTCAATTTTATTAGCTAAACGATTTTATGAAAATAAAATCAAGAGAGTAAGAATTTGTTTTTTGTTTTCGATTATATTTGTACTAAAAATATCTTTCTATTAGAAAGCGTTAGTCAAGTGGAAACGTCTAATTGAACAAGAATGGAGACAACGCTTTGAATTATCATGTGAGAAAAAGACCAAATTTATGCTTAATAAATTAAGGAATGAGTATGAAACAAAATATAAACAATTAGAATTACAACTATTAAATGCAAATGAAGAAATAGCTCGATTAAGAATGCATAGAAACGTACATGATGAGCCTTTAAAAACAGCTTTCATGCGTGGTGTCTGTGCTCTAAATATGGAAGCGATGTCTGTTTTATTTAAAGATGAACATGAATCAGACACGACCAGAGTTCATGAAAAACAACCTCAAAGAGAATATTCTAAACGTAAAGGTATGATTATATTCTTCATTTTTCAGACAAAAATAGAGAAGAAAATTTCAACTTGAAATCGATTGTATAATAGTCTAACATGATAGTTTATTAAAATTTAGATAATGATACTACAGATGAACATTTAAACGAGGAAGAAGTTACAATAACCAGTTCATCAACCACAGACGATGAAGAAAATGAGTTGAGATATTCGTCGTATCATCATACATGTCCAACACATGTTTATAAAGAATATTTACCAAGTACAACTGATTCTAATAGAGACGGACGACGTTTTGCTCAAGTATGTTATAATGTTTTTGTAGAAATAAAAAATTCAAATATCTTTATTTTTCTAGCCGAGTAATCATAATCGTCATTTAACTCTTTCTAAACATTCATCAATGGCAACAAATAGGCCTCGATATACAAATAGTAACATATTATCGGAACGTAATGAACAGTAGTAACATTTTTCCATAAAAACAATTCATTTCATTTTTCTATCGTATTTGATTTGTACAAATATTTCCAGTATTCACATGTAACAGATAATTCTTTTTCTTTTATAGATTTGTATATGTTAAAGTCATTTGTAATTATTTCAATAGATAAACACTTTGAGGATGTAAACTTTAAACTTCTCTACTATCATATGTCGATTAGATAGTTACTAGTATCAATTAATTTGAAAATCCACAGCGTTGCACTTTTAATGAAACATCGATGATGAAGTCGAAAAATATCAAAATCTATTTGTCAACATTATTTTTTCATACATGTCGCTTGAGTTATTTTCTGATTGATAAGATGATTATTATGTTCAATTTTCGCCTGAATAGTTTTCCTCTTACAATTAAAGAAACACTATGAGTAAATCTCTATGAGATAAAGTTTATTTCAAGACATCAATGTTTTTAATCTAAATAAAATATGCTAATAGATATTTGTTAAATAGTTGAGAAAAGCACATGGTCAAAATGCTTGAAATATTCCATTTTAAACAGGCACTACATCGGGTTGTCGTATACGTTTTTGTCTCTGTTCGTTTTTAGCAAAAGCTTTAAGTAAATCCATAACATGATTTTGATATTCATCTGGAGTGTCGATTTTTCCTATAGCCATATAATATAAATCCCAATCATTTGACGGCGTATTTATTAATTTATCATATAAATCAAGATCATTCGGATTCATTTTCGATAAATAAATCGAGGCAAAATTGCTAAGTAAAAGATCATTTTCTAGCATACCACGTTTTCGACTTTGATAAAGAAGACGACGACGTTTAGTTTCAATAAGTTCATCTTTTGGTTGAACCCATTCGGGTAATTGTTCTCCTGGTGCTTTTAAATGTGATTGACGAACGACCGGAAGTAACAATGAACGACTAAAACGAGTCGCTAAAGAACACGTACGAAACAGATTCATCTAAAGATTAGAATTATATATTAGCTAATAGGATTTAACTGAAAAAATAAAAACAATGTTTATTTTGATAAATAAAATAAATACTACAACAACAGACAAAATAAATAAAAAACATTGAATTGTTCTAAAGGGAAGTGACAACTAAATTTGATTATCAAAACTAGCAATAAATTAATCTTCATCGTTATCGTTCGGTTTTCTTTTTTTAACAGAAGTATCACGGAAAAGTAGTGGGCACATTCCTATTCAAAATGAAAAATAAATGTTAATAAAGATAGATAGAGAGAGAGAGATTCATGATTTATACCTAACAAACAACCTATTTACAAGAAAAATAAAATGAAATAGATAATCGTTTTAGAGGAAAATATATTTGACACTTACCCACGAAAATACAAATAGCTTTCGACTAGAAATTTAAAGCAATTGTTTATACATACATGTAGAATGAAGAAATTTTTCAATAATTTTACCAGCAGTTGAGTTGTCTGTACTGATCGTTGTCTCCATTGTTCAGTGGTTAATTTAGGTGAACTGATTCCAAATAAACCTAAAAATCGTCCACATGTTCGTTCAATACGATCAGCAAGACTAAACATAGTTAAATCTGTTTTAAAGAGAAATAATTTGTCGCAAAATTAATTTACCCAATGCCCATGACATCACTGACAGCATTTCCCAAACCAGCAGCTAGAGAAATATTTGATATTACGTTTTTTTTTGTATTTCTAATTTGATTTCTATTACCTGCCATTGTCGAAAGACAAAAAGCAACGCCAAAAAATGTTTCAATTGTTTCACCCTACATAAAAAAAAATATTTTTCATAGTAGAGGAATTTCGACTTACAGCAACCAACATGACAAAATTATCTACGAAGCCAAAGCCAATGTATGGAAGTCCAGTTTCAATAAAAACTAAAGAAGCACGATGAAAATAGACAGATAATTTTCTTTTTACCAATAGCTAATTGAGAATAAGGTATTGGTATTGTAGCAGTTGTTGCTTTTGATAATTTTTCAATTTCACTCAATTCATTAGCAAGAATTAGTCGATGTTCTTGAATAGAAACATTTGAATAGATTTTTATCTTATTTCTAATTTTCACTAACCTGGTTCCAGTGAATGAATAAAATTACGTGCTATTTCTTGAATATCAGTAGAACTCTCTGTTTTTGTATAATGTGTATGAGTAGAAAGAGGTGCTGATTGTTTCAAAAGAGATGTGGAAAAAAGAAATCGTGCTATTTTAACAGAAAAACGAGAAGCTGATCGATGTGTTGGTGTATTATCTGGCATTGGTGTTGTGGAAAAAGAAGAACGAAGTAAACATCTTGGAAATAGAATACTTCGCGGAAACCAACAAGAGTGAAGAGATAAACAGGGCTTCATTTAAATGACTATGGTTCTATAATTGGCATATGTTAGACTATATCTCATCTCATATGAGATAGATAGACTTGACTTTGAAAACGATCAATAACAAGACGATGGCTCCTTTACATCCATTGGCAGAGAAACTAACATAGATGTCACTTATAATCGAAGCAGTTTTAGCATATTATATTCGGTTTTATAGCATGCGTGCAAATTAAAAAAGAAATTTTCTTAGGCCGTACAAGAAACTGTAATAGTAACCTTATTTATGCAATTGTTCAATGTTTTTTCCTGTGCAATAATTAATATTGAACACGATGATATCCACACATGTATAACACTTTCAACGATGTTATGAGAATCATTGAAAGTCATCGCTTGATAGAATGGATCTTTCTTTGTCTGCATATCATTGAAAAAAACGGAGAGTACCCAGGTGAATGTGAATGAATCCGATCAGATTCCTGACCAAGGATCTACTAACGGATCAAGCAAAAAAAAACATTTTCTTAATCACCAATGAATAAGCATATGGTGCCATCAGAACACATGGGTCAAATGTTTATGTTGGATTCCGTTAAATTCCGGCACTGGAACTTATCAGGTTCCAACACTAGGATTCCGATTGTAGGTTCCACACCCGGATCCCGATAGGGTTTCGTCGGTTTAATGAAATCCATACTATATTCGATAAGATTCCGTCACGAATCCGATAGGATCCCACTATCGGAACCATTCTCCTGGGTACGTTTACTAATAAGTAGTCAAATTCACAACGAACGACATTGCGTCATGTTCAAGATCTTCGGATTGAATTGACAAGCTATGATACAATTCACCTGTGCCTATCAGGCAACAGTTGTATTACTTATAAATGAACACAATTGAATATCAGTAGTTAAAATTTTCGATTTATCAAATAGTAACCACCTAATTTTTTTAATGCAATTAATGAAGTTTTTCATACAGCTCAAAAGATAATTATCTTTTTGAGGCAGATAGAAGAAAATAAATGATAAATTCATGTTTTCTTTGACATTTTCCCTTTTATTTATCTAAAAATGTTTTAAAACGCTGAAATTTAAAAAAGAAAACTCCACAGGCAAGTACCCAACGTACTTCTATGGAAATTCTATAATTAGTATATATCAAATAGGCCTACTCTAAAAAAAAGTTCTGCATAGCAGTTGAAAAACTATGAATAGTTCTGCCCAATAATGCTGAACCCAAAAGGGTTCTCCCATATAATGCTAAACCATGTAAAGTTTTTGTTGGATGGTACTGAACTTATCAGGTTCTGTCTTATAAATACAGAACACCTAAGAGTTCTGTCCGTCAATACTGAACCATAGAAAATCATCTATCAGATTATACCTGAGGGTGTGGGTATGGGTATGACCAGACATAAGGCCACACCCACACCCACCCCCACTCTAATATTAAACCGAAATGGTTCTGCTCGATAATGTGGAACTTCAAAAGGTTCGGTAAGAGTATATTGTTTCAGAAACGGTGTAGAATAATGTGGCAGAACCATATTTGAGAAAATGGTTCAGGATATATTTGTCAGAACCATTTTCTCTTTTTTTTCGCAATACATTATTGTGCATTCATCGCACGATGAGTGTCGACGATGGAGAATTTCTTTTGCTTTTGTTCACTTGAAATACGAAGACGGAATGAATTTTTTTTACTTATTTAATACTTTCAACTCGTTTGGTTTTTATTTGTTGTAGAATCAGATCAAAATAAATTATCATATTGCATTGAAAATATTAGTATCAAACATGCTGGAAGATGACTTTATCTTATCGGGAAAACAATCCACAGCTCCTCCTAGCGATCTAAATATTTTTCAATCACTTGAGAAAAGTTGCTTCGATGCTGAATCACTATATCAATACAGCATCCGAAAAATGTAAACAGGCAAAATCCAATATCGAAGCAACAACATTAACGCGTCGTCAACAACCGAAGAGATCTCATTTGACGTAGTTATTTATTCGTTTTAAACGAAAACCTTTCTTTTCGTAATTCGTTCTCGCTATTCTCTTCAAATATTGTAAAAAGGAGAAATGTAACTAGTGTAATGTTTCCTCTTTGTTATTGCTTTCCTTATGCACAATATCACTTCATAATTTCCAAAGAAATGCTTGTCTGATCAAGTCTTCTTTTGTTAAATTCTCATTTATAGTGCAACCATTTGCGAAATACAAACCGACTAAAATGAAATCATGCATCTTTTATATTTTCCTTAACCTTGATTGTATACCAATGTTGAGATTAATATCAGAAGAAAAATCTTTTTTCCGCTTATTTACGTTCATATTCTAGTTATGTTAGTCGCTAGTGATATATTAGGAAACAACAAGTATTTTAAGTTTATTATACCGATCGTATATTAATGGTAAGCTAGATATTCTAATAAAAAGTATCGAAAATTTCCATTCCGCTTTATTTAGGTTCATATACAGATAATCTCAATCGCAATTTACATATATCGAAATGACATCTGGAATATTTTCCTTTTTATGTCTAGCTTCGTCTTGAGATAATATTCAAATGGTAAGTTATATTAGTTGAAACGAAACAAACATATTTTCTTTTTTTATATTTAGATTAGTCTTGATGGTATATCATTTGTAAACTATACGTTTGAATTGAAACCGTAAGTATTTTTTTATGTTGGGATGTATCCGTAAACTTGTTCAGATTTTTCATTGGTGTGTCTTTTTAGAGCGAGGCACCCTAGTTGCGAAAAACTGAGCTACTTGTGCGATACAGAACCAGTATCTCCCGAGTAGCAGATGTTTTTCGATAAGCCAGTCAAATTGGTAACTTTTCTGTAGTGCTGAACCCATCTTGATGATGGGTTATCATTGGTTTCGTTAGTTACTGACGGAACCCTTTTACGCTGAATCATTTCTGGCGATACATTATAAATGGTTCTGTTGATTTTTCATGGAACCCACTTTTGGACAGAAACTTCCTCGGGGTTCTGTTTTTTACCAGGTACCAGAGCCTACTAAAAGCTTCTGTAGAACTCTTGTTTTTTAAAGTAAATTTTCTTTGACCTATTTATTACAAGCACCTGTATCTATTCGTCTTATCAATAGCCCAGGTTCAAGAAAACAACTTAAAAACGATAGCCATCCTCTAGCCATTTTAGATCTTTTAAGACGCCGATTCAGATGATCAGAATGATCATCTTGTGTACAGTAAGTGATTTAAATACATATCATTAATTTACTTAACTTTAGCAAGTCGTTTATCTAGTTTTAGTACTAGGAACAATCCAATCGTTACATCTTTCAATCAAGCCATCAGTGAACCCTGTCATGCAAAAAAATCACTATAATATTTTTCTTGAACATTTTTTATACAATACACACAATACTCTAGAAGCTGCGTATATTGAATATTCCTAATCAGTTTTGTATAATAAAATTTATGGTGATTTTCTCTCTAAAAGTTCTATAGTGAAATATAAAGAATACAGTGTACGTGAATAGATATAGGTACAAGTGCCCAGGTCGATCAAAACGGACCTCCGTAAACTGGCGTAATATTACCGTAAACGGTCGTTTTTGCATCGTATTCCGCCGTAAAACGGCCGTTTTAAGCCATATTAAGGCGTTTTAACAGGGGCAGTATTACGGCCGTACACGAACACCGTATATCAGCTGTAAAACCTCGTAAAGCAGGCGTAACTTTATCGTATTCTATAGAATATACGGCTGTATTACTGCCCCTATTATACGGGGAAAATACGGCACGTAAAACGGGCCGTATTTGTATCGTATACAATCGTTTACTGATCGTTTTCTTCGACCGGGGTGCTTCATTAAGCTTCACATCCTCTATGATTCTTTTTTTGTGTTTCTAATATCTTCCACACCACACCATTCTAGATCATGAATATACTATCGTGAACAATATGATATGTTCAACTTTCACTCGTTTTTGTGGCGAGATATTTTATTTCAAAACAATTTTGTATTATACAAATTAGAAAATCAACGTCTCCTGTCTAGCTAAGTGTATTTTCATTAGCATATATATCTAATCCGATAAGAAGAAACCTAACTAATAGATTCAAAATCAATCTGAATTCCAGATCATGTCTGCTAACTACTGAAGAGTGCAAAAGCGGAATAAGCAGAGAAGAGAGAAACGTTGAAATCGTTATAAATATGACAGTTCTCATGAATCAAAAATTAATTAATTCATGGCAACACTCAGCCAAATATCGCTGGTAGTGCCAGTGTACGTATACTTGAGAAAGACCCAAAAACGTAAGGTGTAGGTCATGCCAACAGTTGCATTGAAAGCTTGAGCAACCCAAACTTCACTCGGAGTGCATCGATCATAATAGCATCTGCTTCCACTATGCGATCTAGAAGTCGTAATACCATACGGTGTACCAGTATTATTACATGGACCATTTGATCCATCCCACCATGAAGCAGTTGAGCTCTCAAACCATCCATTGGTAATTTTTTGGTTTGCACTAGAGTCAACTAGTGACACGTCATCCAAATACCATGCACTATCATGCGTATTACTAAACAGGAATGTGAGTGACAATCCAGAACTTTTTGCTGCTACATAACTATGAGTGGACTGTACCCAATTATTGACAATGGCAGCTGAATAGGTCAATTTAGCCACGTAAATATTTAGTCCAGTTGTAGTAGTCGTAGCTGATATATAGTAGACAAGAAATAGTGGTAAAAATACATCAGTATTGCACACTGAAAACTTACTTGTTGTTGTCGTCGTCGTAGCTACAAAATAGAAACAGAAACGTTATAACATTAAAAAAATGCTGTAGAGATAATAATTATTCTTACAAATCTATTGCAATTATAGCTCAAGAGAAGATAAATGATTTGCGGCAAAGAAGAAACTTATATGAGAGGGACGAAGTTGCTCTTGATATAATCGACAAGATCGACAACGACGATAGAAATATCTAAGAGAGAACTTCTTAAAGTATGCTCTTGACTCATGAGCATTAAATAATATGATAAAAACTGGATCCATTCAAACATGTTTCTTAGAGAAATTATTACGAGAAATATGATTTTTTCAACACACGCAACGAAATAGGCAAAGAAATATTCTGTTTAAAATCAAACTTCGGTATTTTTATTCCGAAAAATTACATGATACCACATTTGCATATAAGTCGAATGCCTCTGTATTAAAAACATGAAAAGGAATGAGTTCCATTGCTATGGTTTGCAAGCTTGACCACCAATAATTTATTCTGATGTACTGTTCTTAATTAAAATCTAACTAGGAGCATACGTGATTAGATCTTAGTGTAGAATCAGTCATAGTAATTTACTACTGCTAATGAAAAGTTTAAAATGAAGGTATAAGATATTTTCATATCGCTAAAGGCAACAGGTTTCCAATTTTTACATAGAAATATTGTAATATTCGATTCACAGTAAACCAACCCTAATGAGTTCAATACTCATTCATATGCTTAGACAACAACATTAGAAACAAAAGAAATAAAATTTTTGTTTTCATATACGACATTTGTGTACAGAAACTTAAGCAAAGCTTTGTATGACAATATCGTTAACCTTATTCGCAGAAATAATGGATATCGAAATAGCTTACTGGCACTGGAGGTAGTTGTAGTAGTTTTTGTCATCGTAGTAGTCGTCGTCGTCTTTGTCGAAGTTGTGCTAGTTGTTGTTGTAGTCGTAGTGGCAGTCGTTGTTGCGGTCGTAGTGGTAGTTGTTGTTTTGGTTGTAGTGGTACTTGTTGTTGTGGTCGTAGTGGTAGTTGTTGTTGTAGTCGTAGTGGCAGTTGTTGTTTTGGTTGTAGTGGTAGTCGTTGTTGCGGTCGTAGTGGTACTTGTTGTTGTGGTCGTAGTGGTACTTGTTGCTGTGGTCGTAGTGGTACTCGTTGTTGTGGTCGTAGTGGTAGTTGTTGTGGTAGTCGTCGGGGTAGTTGTTGTTTTGGTTGTAGTGGTAGTGGTAGTCGTTGCTGTGCTCGTAGTGGTAGTCGTCGTTTTGGTTGTAGTGGCAGTAGTTGTTGTTGTAGTGTCCGTAGTCGTCGTTGTGATCTGTGCAATAGTACTTATGTATGCATTAGTACTGGTTGTCGCTAAAATAGTATACGGATATCTCAAGAGAGAATATCATTCAGTGCCCGCGGACATTGATTGATAATATGCTCTATGTAATAATAGAATTTGGTGGAATTAGTAAATAAGCTGTTAGCGTAATCCCTGTTGGATTAAAATGTGAAACACCATGAAACTCCTTTGTTCGAACCCGTCTGCCATTGTCTGTAAAAATATATGGAGCTTCTCTGCCACGCTTTGTGTGTGTATGGGGGGGGGGAGGGGAGGTGGATTGAAATTTCTATCTTATATACAGTTTCACTGAAGCAAGAGTTTTAGGCGTCTGGCTGACTAATTATTGAGTGTTCAATTACGGAATTTTGATCTGAAGTTTTATGCACGAAATAACTTCAGTTTAACAGACTGCTCCAAAAATGTAGCTTAAATGTAACTATATCTATAGAGAAACTTTCTGTTTCTGATGAATCAATTTTGTGCCTATATATTATGAAATATTCGCTCGTCGGCAAAATCTCATATAAAAGTTCATTGGCTACAGCTTTCTTGATTAGCGTATAAAATGTTCGAATAACTTAGACATGGAGATCACACTAATTAGGTTTCTAATTCGTTCTAGTTCTTGTCACAGACAATAGAAATGAAGCAAATCCTGTGTATTTCAAATCTTAGAAATGATGTAGATTTCCACCAAAAGGTTTTCGCTTAACCTACTTTCAATTAGTTTAGTGACAGTAAAAGATGTTGATCTAAAGTATTTCTCGCGGAAAACCTGTATAGTAGTTGAAATATCACAAGAATCTGACTTCAAAGTAGCACATTCATCTAGATAAATTCATTGCCCAACTGAACAATTAGCTTTCATCAAGCAACGGTGCTGAATAGATTTGTCCTGAAAGCTAAATATCTCAAGACGGACACAATCAATCGAATCGAAATTTCCATTTTATTCTGGTGGGTATGAGATTTCGCCTCATACTATATATCAAATGGAAAAATTTATGCTACTTTTTATGAGGATGCTGCTTTAGATCACACAAAAAACATAGTAAAACAATACAAAAATACGCATCGCTACCCTAGTCGAACATCTTGTAAGTAAAATTCTGGGGTACAAATATTCAATATCTTTAATCCCATATCTGATATTTTGCGATGATTTTTACTGATCTTTATTCCAGTCAATTGTATATTTCATACTAATAGTCAATATTTTCAAGGCCTGCAGTCAAAATTCCTCAGTTTAGCATACGTTTAATAGCAAGCAATTTTTTCACTCGACCTGTTTAATTTATTCACAGTGCCTATTAAAGGTTTAAATGAAATGGTACGAACCCATGAGTTTGACAACAGCTATTATGCCACCAATAACAATAATTCCGATCAGTACAGCTATAACGATTAAGAAACGACGTTGTGCTGTGAAAAATCCTCGATGAACGCTGAATTACGTAATTGGGTTTATGTTTTCAACATCTTAATATTGAAATAATGTTAACTTACGTATTTGATTGACTTTTTATGCTGGTAATAACTGATTGTGATTCATTCTAAAAATGCCAGATTGAGTAAAGAGGTTTTAGATTGAATTCATATTTACATGTTCGGGCCCAATACGATGCTTCCCAATTGAGAACTTGGACGAATGGCTTATATTTGACTAAGAAAAATCGACATATGATTTTGATGTTGCATCAAGGCGCACAATGTCAAGCATTAAATCGATAATATTGAGAAAGTAATTCGCATACTTTTCTTGCAGTATTGCCTCAAAATTTTTAAATATCAAACTTTGAGGAAGAATTAAAGTAACCCTAGGTGACCTATTCAGATAACCTGTATTTTTCTGAGACAAAACTCAAGCAACATAAGAAGAATCATCGATTAAAAAAGGAGAGTACACATTAATAGCAGTCCAATCGTCTTAAAATAGAAGAAGAACTTAGCAAACTGCTTTGGTCGAATAAGCTGATCATAACTAGCCAGAAATTCGTCCTCTCATTTTTATAATGATCAATATTTTAAGGATATCAATGAGTCAACTTTCGTTTAGAACACCACGGAACCACAGCAACTAGTAGCATACTAAAACTGCATATTATCTGGTGAAAATATTATGTTTCTTGACGTAATATAAACGCTAGAGTCATTTTGCACAGAGATGAAGACGTTGCTTATCATTTTTAATATGACTTGCGAAGTCTAGGAAAACTTGTTTTCGAATAACTGTGACAATTTATGACAATGACTTTTATGAAGCGTCAAGGAATACTGTGCCACTAGTTATAAATCTATTCCTATTACCATTTATCATTCGTAAAAAACTAAAATTATGAATTTCATCAAGAGTCTTACTTGTGCATATGTTTTTGATTGGCGTTGAGCTTCTAATGACTCAATTAGGTCCTCTTGATGAATGGGTAATTCAATCTGATACGAGTAAATAATTTTGCCTTTATTGTTAGATCAATACAGATAGTACTTACAAATGTCTGATGTTTCTTCACAGGGACTAGTGAGGCGTGTAGGAAAGACGATTTCATTGAATGATGGATAGTTGCCTACGTTTGTTTCAGAGTTTTGGATTGTATCATAAAATAATAAAATATGAAATGAAATATATGGAGACACCTCTAGAAGTATTATTTTCTTTTCATCACACAGAAGCTCCAAAAAGAATTTAATCAATTATAAAAAATAAGTCCAATACAGAAAAAATCAAAATAATGAAATATCTCTAGGTGATTTTTGTTGGACCTTTTGAAAAAAGTGCATTGTTTTTAAGCCAATGATGGCTTTATTGCGCAGGATGAAAAAAATGTTTTGGCATTGTTTTGATTTCATTTAATTTTGCAACCGTAAAAAGATGATTTTTTTTATTAAATACTTTCATCTCTGCCTACTAGGCAACGAACACTGATAAGATTAACTGAAATAATCAACAACAAGATCATACTAGTAGACAATGATTCGGTGTAAGTCACGATAAACTAAAATTTCACCGATTTCTACAAACGAACTTAAGAATAGAGACTGAGCTTTCACTCTTAACATGAGCATCATGTCTAGCAATGATTATGGTAGCTACAATTGCAAAAACGAACCAAAATTCTTCAATTTGAAAAATATGCCTTCATTTTTATTGGAACATTATTAAAACTGGCGATATTGCACGATCACCTAAGATCTGATTTAATCATTACATTAATGAAATAGTCGACTTTAGCAATTGTTGATCCGACAGATGTTAATTCACAGTTGGCTTTCTTTTCCTCATAATATTTCATTAGGCGAAAATTCTTATTGAGTCATTGTGAGCATATAAAATATTAACTATGTCATTTCAATTAAATATTTAGAGATAAAATTGCAATTCTAATTGGTAAGAAATGAATGTCAACCACGTAAATATCTTGATTGAATATAACAAAAATATATCTATCGAATCGAAATAAAAACAAAAATAAGTGTCATCTATTCGAGTTGATTTAACTAGTAGTATTTTTACATTGAAACAATTTATGACGAAGTTCTAGTTGCTATAGAATCGGTATTTAAAGTATAGAATATTGTTCATGCTTATTCTATTACTAGTGATTACACTTACTGATTTTCTATAAAGACCTGATTTATTCAACACAGAGAAATTCAATTAGTCGCTTTCTCTATTGATTGATTATTGTGCATCCTGTGTTACAAGAAGATGTGAATGCATTCTTGTTCTCGAAATCTTTTTTTTTTTATTTTATTTCTATTCTCCGTGTTACTTTCTTGTCCTTTATTATTTACGTGAACTTTTCTTGTGAATCAAGAACGATAAAATTATCAATAAAGAAACGGTAATAATTATTTTCCAACTTTCGATTTCGCTTTTTGCTGTGATGCATCCATCAGAGTATATCTTAAATAAATTTTTGACTTGTCTTTTCCGTTTTTTTAATTTTTTAAAAATTTAATCTTATGTTTTTCTACTTACATCATTATTTTATATTTTTAGAGAGAGAATAATTGTATTTTAGGAAGAGAAAATTGAGAATTAGATGGTTGAAAAATTTCTTAGCAATGAGTAATGAATAGATGACAACAAAGAATACAAGAACAAAAAAAATAGTGACACTGCACGAATAAATAAACTAAATTAGTGAGGTCGAATACTCCGAAATCTGAAATTGAATTTTAAAACAGATTTCTTCATATTCTATTTTTAATATATAAAATGTTTTATTGGCAAATAAATATCTGAGAATGACATTTCTACATAAATAACAATGAACAACTGCCTTTTAAGGTTTTCAATTCTATTCTATTGTGCAAATCCTAATAATTGAAAAATATTATTGAAATCAATATTTTAGTGTCTTAAATTAATCAACTTCCTTTAAATCAGTCGTTATTGTAGAAATCTTCTTGGTCACCATCAGTGGTAGTCATATAATATTGCATTTCATTATTTGAAACACGAATCGTTTCATATTGATGCTTGGCATCAGATAAATAGTAGAGTTAGATTGAGAATCTGATGGACGTTGAACTGTTGTTACATTTATATTACCTGTACGCTAAAATTCAAAATTATCAACGATGGCTACTGGTCAATTGTGCGGCACATGGAAAAAACTCTTCGCACACATTCATCTATGTCACAACTGCGTCTGAATGTATAATATGACTGAGTACCATTATACAGAACACGAAACACCTCCCAACCACGTGATATATCTCTGTTCAGAACATAAGGTCGTCGGTTGTATTGTTCCCGTATATTGACCAATGATCCTCTGTTTGGACTTTCGGTCATCTAATGTAAATAAAAAAATGAAAATATTTATGATATTCTATGATTTTATAAATGTATAATGCGAACATTACCATGAGGGGTGTGTGACGGCAGCAACATCACTGATCTTGTCTTGATGTTTGTTATATCATGTATGTTTTTTTTCCTCTGTATTGTTCTCTCTTGTTACTTATTTGTCGCGCTTATTATTTTCAATATTGGCACTTTTTCGTTTTTCGCGTTTGAACTCAGGAAAATGATATGATAATTATTCTTCTCTGTCAAAAAGAATCATCTTTTTGATTAATTACATATTACCTTTTTCTTTCAACTTGATTGTTCTTTACAATCGTTCGAACTCGTGTCAGCTACTTACTTGTGGAGGTCTTCTTATTCACAAATATTTCTGTTCATTGAATAAACAATTGGATCTTCATCCAACAGTTCAGTACTATTTAATTTTTATTACTCTCATTCTGCCATAACCAATACTGCGGCACCTGGCATTTTTATTAGTTGCGTCGCTGACCCTCATCAAGGCGTTACAGGGTGCCAAAGGACTGAGAATTAGGAATTTTTCATCAGTTACCCTACAGTTCCTTGCATACTAAAACTAAAAATATGAAATATTCACGATCATTTTTGTTCCCTTACACTCATTTTCACCTGCAAAATTGCGAGAATCAATAGTTTCGTATACAAATTATTTTCAAAAGAGCTGTTAACGCAATCTCTGTGAGATTAAAATGTGAAACACGATAAAGCTCCTTTCTGGAACCCGTCTGCCACGGTCTGTGGAGCTTCCCTGTGACGGTCTGTATTATGGTGTATGGAGTCTCTAGAGACCATTGCAGACCGTTACGCAGACTTCAGAAGCCATCACAGACGGTGGCAGAGAAATGAATCAATTAATTTCTTTGTCCCGGTCTGTAGGGGGGGGGGGTGTGGAGTGGATGGGTTAAAATTNCTAGAGACCATTGCAGACCGTTACGCAGACTTCAGAAGCCATCACAGACGGTGGCAGAGTAATAAAAATTAAATAGTACTGAACTGTTGGATGGGTTCAAATTTCTACCCTATATACCTCAACACTCCTTTCAGATCGTGTTTCACAAAAGCAATATCGTGACTTTCGTGAATGGTATAATTGCGAGGGAACCAAGGATTGATTCCTATTTATCAGTCCTTGAACATTGTTGTTCCACTTTACTTATGTGTAAAAATAAACATTTTTTATCGTTTCATCGAAAAGTGGTAATTTATTCTATGAATCTTCCATGAACGAATCACCTTATCTTTTAAATAATATATTACCTCTCTAAGAATATTACTTGCTATGATATATCGGTAGCCTTTCCCCATTTGTATTAATACGGTTATTATTATAGCAAATCCTCTCGGCATGGATGCAACCACACATTAAACAAATAATCTCCAGTGTAAATGTTAATCAAATAAATGCACGCTTTGAATAAGCAGTAAAATAATAAAACGACCGACAAACAAAGACCTAAACAAACATTGACACATACGTGTAGTATAATCTCGTCTGTATGAGTTCAAATCAATCAATTTAATTTTAGGGATGATTTCTATTAAATACAACGTATTTCCTATCTTTAAACAGAATAAAAAAAGGAGCAGATTATACATTAATATTTTTTTTCTTTTCTTTTGGTTCGTAGCAGTACATTTATTCGAACTATAATATCATATATTGCGAACAATGCGTCGCCACACGATTCAACGGATATTTTGGCTTTTTCGTGAATTGTTAGACATTTGATTGAGAATACTTAATTCATAGTGAGTATGCAGAGTAAACCTCGGATGTTTTATAAAATTTGCTAATGAATGAAAGGAAAAACGATATACTTTCATAATTTATTGATTTTGAAGGATTATTCTTCAGCCTTTGCTCATCTACTCTGCAAGAAAATGGAGCCTTGTAGAACTTTCGCTCGGTCGCAGATCCTTTTGGGATTCTGTAGATTCTAGAACTTGTATTGAATCTAAAAAAAGGTTCAAGACAATCTACAGAATTCCTCAAAGGATCCGTGATCGGGTAAAAATTCCGGAAACTTCCTTTTTTTCAACGTATAAAGAGTTCTAAAATATTTATATATACATTTATTTTGAAATACACTGAAGATAGCTACGGGATATGACGAACATGTAAAGTGTCGTCTACACTCTAAATAAAAATCGTTTTCCCCGGAACCCCGGAAAATAGGTTTCCGAACGTTCGAAAACCCAAATAGGTGTCCAGGCTGATTCCGGAAACATGAATACCTTTCCGGACTAATCTCGGCTACCTTTAAAAGGTTCTTGGAGAGAAGAAATGCGTTTCCGAACTTCGGAAACCTTAAAAGCGTTTTGATATAGTGACAAACCCGGAAACACTGAAATCTTCTTATATCTCAGAGAGTAAGTACACATGAATGGATAGAAACAAAGAGGAAACGATCACGCAATTAAACCATGAAGGATAACCACAGGTCAGCGCACGGACACGCGCATATAGAGGAGAGAATAATCTGGGTGAATTGAAACATAGCGGTCAAAAATCATTACACGTGAGTCTTATAAACACAAAATGTATAAAAAGCAAAGCAATCGTGAAGGCAAAACAATTCTTAGCTGTTTAACTAGAGATAAAATAGATAGATAAGCGAGAGCTTCTATAGACTTTCAATATCTGACTAAATGTTCATAAATTATTTTATAGTATTTTGCACTTGGTGCTGTTCAGCTCGCCGATTTCATTTGCCTCGTCACTTTTTTACGCACCATCTTGAAGATCATCTAGTTTTGTACGACGAATTCAATACTACGAAACCATTGAACTTCGGTATTTGTTTACGTTATGTGTTGGATCAAGACCGACTAGTTATTGCCGATTCATTATCTCCCGTAAAAAGATCTTGGCAAAATTATTTGTCAAATAAAGAAACACTGTCCTATCCTTGCTTGGACAAGAAATCGAGCCAATGTGACTGTCGTGACTTTCGTCAATGCAATGGCATGGTATTCATATCCAACACGAGACGATTCGGAATTTTGCAAGCAACAAGATCGCAATGAACCTGATGATATAATGAAGCCCAATCTGTTAATAAAACAACCGTTGTTAATTTCCACTGAACTATTTGACGAAGTAATCAATGAGACTTTCTTTCCTCTGCAAAAAATACAGAATTACTTATGATACACGTCGTATTGTAGCTGAAGTGAAGAATTTAGATCGCAGCAAGTCACAGTACCATCATAACGAAGACAATAATCCAAAAATTGATCCCACCTTTCTTGTTATAATATGCATTTCGATTGATTATATTGAGTGGCCATATTATTTTCCATCAAATTAATTTATCTACGAATGTAACTTAAGTTTATTCTTTGAAATATTTAATATTACTCTAATTTTATTTACTCGAACACAAGACGAATACATTCGGGTGTGGGTGTGACCTTATGTCTGGTCATACCCCTACCCACACCCTCAACATTTATTTAGATATTGAATGGAAAGCAATATTATTTATTAATATTAAAACAAAGACTATTTGTGAGAAATTACGCTCTTTATATTGTTCAATCAAAGACGACTCATACATTTCAATCTCGATATGGGCAGATGACATGATAAAATACCCAGAGACCCAGACCAAGTCCCAAATATGTAAATATGGTTGATCGATCTGGGCGTAAACCAGCATTTCTAATCATAAGAAATGTTATCCAACCGAGAGGAATGATATCGGAGATAATTAATAAGATATTTCTTGTTATTCTTGGTACATTCAATTCACCGACAGCAAGTAAGAGATGAAGAGAACAAATTATTGTCAATATATAGATCATCCATGGTTCTATCATATTATCAGATTTTTGTCGCAATAAACACCGGTAGAAAAGATAGCTAGCAACAAGTTCTGTCGTGGTGAAAAATGTTTGTGATGGTAACATACGATGATAATCGTGATCATTCAAATAATTAATTATGTTCCAAATACCATAATAATTCGCATAGATCGGAACAATGAGCAATAAAAGATTTAATTGACGAGCTGTTGCAATTTTCACTAGATAAAAGCGAAGTAGTTGAGCATAGAAAAGAAGAATACCAAATAGAAGAATGGTTTGTAGTTCATAATTGAAATAGATTGCTTTATAGCCGCCACGTGGATGAACTCCACGATAGAATCCGTCCCAACAGTCACAAGTACAGCTTTCTCTGATAACAGGCTTTGACAGTGTTTCAGCATTGTAGCCAGACAGTTCAGTACCAATAAAAAGTCCGAATGAAATAATTATTGTCACGATTATAGTCGACCAACAAAACATGAAAACTGATTCAAAATGAATATTTTTACAGTGCTCTTCGAGAAGTGGAAAATACGAGAAAGACATAATTGAATCTAAAATGAAAATCTATGTGAGTGATGCGCTTTGCTGTTAAAACTTCAATTGAACTTCACTTTGCACTCTTGAGGACGTGGATGTTTATGTATCAATGAATAGTAGCAAACACACTCACTCAGCTCTATTCAAAGAATCTCTCAGAGTATTTCAGCAAGTTTTTCATGCGCTAAAATAAGAAAAACCAGACTTGTATGTTATATCTTGCCGTTCAGAATCTAAACAAGTTCACCACTCCGATAATTCAGATCATGTTTTAAAGATGAACAAAAAAAGGAATAATCTATATTTTCTGTTAGATATGACTTACCGTTTCTATCGTTTCAGTTTCTAAAATCGAATAAAGAAAATATATTATTTCATTGCCATATAATATACAGAGGTGACAATACCGGCTTTTGAATTCAAACGTAATGATAGATGGTGCTCATTGGTTTTTTATGCGTTATATCTCACATACAATTAGTATTTCTCGAAAGGATTTCAGACTAGTACCAGTATCGACCATCAGAAGTCTAGACTGGTTCGATTGAGTACCGTTTTGTATGCCAAGGAAAAAGCATTCTTAAATATTCTTAGGTTGCTAAAATCAGTAGTTTGGGAAACGTTAAGATTTCTAAATGATTTTCAGCTTTTCAGAAAATGGATTTTCTTTTAGGCAATAAATCTCGATCATTTGAAGATATTGATTCGATTTTAAAAAGACTCATACATACTGACACGTTCGAACCTTTTCACAGAATCGTTCTCTGCATGCCATGGAAATAGCGTAGATGCTCATAAGTCTTACTATTTTATTAAACATAAAGCCTACCGTCAGCGCCCTCCATCCATTACTGTACTAAAAGAAAAGAAAATATTTATATCATCGTTCATTAATTGCAATGAGAACGGAATCTGAGCCACTTTTTCAAACAGACAAAGAATAACATTGACTTCGAAAAAAGTCGCTTAACAGTTAAGTAATAAAAAAGGTTCCCATCTATTTCTATGACATTCACAACGAATTGTCACAACACCAATATGAAATATTCATGTCATAAAAAAGAACAGAAAAAACACTGAGTTCTATGAAAAGTGCTCGAGTATTTTCTTATTGAATAGATTATAAATGTCAGGATGAGACTTACTTTTAATATTTTAAGTTTTCCATGTGAAACTAGGATATGCATTTTTGATTGAATAGGATCATTAGAGATATATTTGAACAAAAACTACTCACTTATACCTATATCACATTAATACCTATCAAGAAAAATATTTTTGCTTGTCAGTACACATCGAAAAAATAACATTATGTCTAAATGTACTTCCAAATTAGTTGTAAGTAGATCAATGAACGAAAAGTTTTGCACATTACTTTGTACACCAATCGTTCTTCGATAACTATCAAGATATATCCGTTCTTACTTTTTTTCGCCCATGTTCGAAAATTATGAACATATGATTGAGAACAATTATTTTTTCTTTTTTCAACATTCAGCTTTATTGTCCCTATAAGCAAGATTGACAGTTCAACAACAATTATTCATTACTGACTGATACTGGAAATTGGCAAACCGATAAATTTCGAATGTCGATAATATATTTACTTGCTCGATTGAATGACAGAAAAAACATACTGATCTCAATAAAATTTTGAATTGAATATCAACCGAAACAACTGTGAAAAAAAACTTGTTAACATGATTATCCCATTCATTGATAACCAAAGTTTCGATGGCTTTACAATCAACAAAACTGAAATTGATTTCTTTCTGTAGAGAATAATATAATTTTTGTTTATGTGTGTTCAGCGATAATATGAGAAGTCTTAAAGGTATCAAGAATTAATAGGCTTTTGTCGCTTTCTATTCAATTTGATGTGTTTATGTAGAATCAGTCGAAAACAAATTCGTATGAGAAAATGGCTCATTCTCATAAGAACGAAGTAGAATCAGTGACGATGACAAATGTCACACAGATTGTACGTAAATTCCTTTCATGCGATTGACGGTTCCTTTAACGGACATTCTTATTTAGTTACGCATGCATCTTAGAGAGGAGAACATTTGTCCAGCTTACCACTTCTAGCATGAGAAGTTTATTCAATAGTATGAGGGTGTGGGTGTATTTAAATGATGAATGGAATTCATTTTATCTTGCTGAGAAATTTTCTTTTTAATACGCAACTATTTAATGATGGTCACGCAGTAAGATTGACCAGACGAGTCAAACAGAGCAAAAGAAAATGATTGATGATCACGATTCTTTACAAAAAAAATCGGGGCGAATATTTTTGCTTCTTTGTCTATGTGACTATTACGTCAGCACTTGCTCATTTATTTAATGATATGCGTTCGAAATATGCAACGTATAGAAATGTTATAGAATCCTGAGCACTTATATTGTGATAATGAATGCTTACTGTTACTTATCGGTATTTTTAATTGCAGTTTACATGTGTTTCCACTTAACAGTAAACAGCAGATTTTTGATCTTGAAGTTACTTCAAGTATGTACTTTGGTGTAGCGGTGTACAACTCACGCTCACGCTCATATGAGCGCTCATGAGCGTGAGTGTTTCTTTGGCATAGAATACGCGATCGCTTATAGTCATTTTTATCTAGGCTATTCCTCGAATAACAATATTCAAACTTTTTGTGCCTGGGGTCCCCCGCAGGTATCGTGAATACAATGTTTTTTTGTTGACCAGCCAAAATTGTAAGAGTTTGAAGATTTAGGAGTGCCAATGACGAATATTATGGGGGAACTCTCAAAAAGCTTTTATTAATGAAATAGCCCAAATCATTCTTTGAACTAATTCCTCATTATTTTTGCTCTCCTATAGTTATGATTCACTCAAATTTAGCAAAAAAAATATTTTCTAATTCACAATTTTGCGCTCTATTCAAACCAGAACCGTTTACAACACTAAACTGTAACATTTGTAGAGAAACTAGCGATTACAGAGCAGAAATTAACATTTTCTTTAGCACATGGAACTTAGTCGTTATGACAGTTTGCGAAGTCACTCGTATTACAACGTAAAATTCGAATTATTGCTGTAATTTTTCAAGGTCTTTCAATTGGTAGCGGTGAAAAGGTAGAAGAATAGATATAACAAGGTGGGAAGTTAAAAAAATATAGAAAGCGCATCTCATCGTTGAAACAAATATTCTCGAAAAACGATTACTTGAAATGAATATTATTGAATTTGAGAGCATCGATAGAAACATTCGAATCTCTTGTAAATTAACTTTCTGATAATCTTTGGCTGGACGATCTTTATCTAAATGAAGTGAATATCGCCGAAGAGCATACTTACTGGAATACACTAACTCAGACCTATTTCTGTTGAATTTGGCTATAATAGTATAGTTTTCAACACCAAAGTAGTGTTGTGAATACACGATGTGTGCACTACATGCTCGATTTTGTATCCTCTCTTGTTTGACAATGTGAGAAACAAAGACAACGGGTGCCACGGCATCAAATGTTTGAAATCTGTGACTTTTTCAGTTTTTACAATATTTACATACGTTTTTGTGAGTTTGAAGATGAGGAGAAACATGTCAGAGTGTCAAATTCACAAAGTGATGATTTTTGTGTAATTTTCTGTCAGTAGAAAGTCTTATTCGCACAGATAGAACGTAGGAGTGTATGAGTTAGACCAGGAGACGAGATCATACAATTATATGCGCGACAAAAAACAAGCCAACTTCCTTATTAACGTCGCTTGATTAGAGCATATCACATTATGGTCCTACGCGACAGTCATCATTACTGTTATTTTTGTATTGTCTTTCTTGTATCTCATATATGACTAATGCTTTGGAAATTCACTTGCAGTCAACTTATCGCTGGAACCTCACTAACATTTTACACATTATACAGAAATTTTTATCGGAAAATAGAACTAAATTTGCTCGCAATCTATCATACATAGAAAATCATTAGGATCATTACCCTTAAGAGAAGAGGATAACGGGGGAAAACAATGAGCATAATGATATATTTTATCTATGCGATTTGAAGTAGCTATGTAAACGAAGCCTCTTTTGATATTTTCATGCTTTTCTTCACCTTTTGCTCGCAATCAGACAATAGTTACAGATGACTTCTTTCAATTCTCAAATTTATTCCGTTGGTAATATGATCTTTTCCTTTCCAAATCTATTATATACGAGCCCAAATAATGCTTTTTTTGCACTTACTTGTTCTCTAAGAGCAATTTACCGCTAACTCACCGTATAACTTATATCAGGCGTGATAACAGTTGAGGATGTCATCCACTTCGTTCCATCTTCGCTCTGATTTATGTGAACCTACCATCGTCAACTAATAGAGACATAACAAGATCGCTCAAACCAAAGGCTTTCTTTCTGAAAAGTCCATCACCATTGAATTAATTATAGAAATACTCACAGAATGATTTAAATAAACCTGAATCTTCCAGTATTTTAGAATTTTTGCTCTGTTATTCCTAATTTTATCTTTTCGCGACTATTAATCAATAGCGCTTGAAGAGCGAAATATACACCCGGAGTTTCACATCCCACAAGAACTAATTTCACTCTAAAAATCAAACTTTTAGAGATAAATCTAGTAGAAAAATGGCTTCTTTCACTAGAAGTTCGAGTCCTCGATCCTGCCCACATCATTTTAATTATTTTTAATACTACAAATCGATAGACCTTGAAAAATTACACTTATGGTCCAAGTTTTACGCTGCAGTAACAGCGACTTCCTAAACCATCATAGGAACTAAATTCTATTTCTTAGAGAACAGACGAGTTTTTGCTTGGAAATCACTATTTTGTTTCCAAATACTATAGTGTGTGGTGGTAAAAAGTTCAGATTCGTATAGAGCGCAAAATTATGAATTACGAAATGTGTTTTCCATTGAATTTTAGTGAATGAGAATTCTAGGAGAGCCAAAATAATGAGGAATGAATACACCTATTTACTTAACTAATATTGAGGTATTTTCTTCGATTTCTCTATAGTGCATACCTTTTGTAGCTGCCGCTTGTGAAATTCCATTCATAAATTCTTTCTCTAGTTTATCAGTCATAGCAAAATTTGCAGCTCCGCCGAAACAGCTGATAAGTAAGTCGGGATTAGCACCTACGCCTTCGACAATCAATTCGAGAAAGTTGTCACATATTTCCAACGGACCCGAATCGCATCGAACGAACTCAAAGAAAAATCAAAATTTCTTCTTCTACTTTCTGGTAATATTTTCATCGTTTACATACTCGGGTGTCCTTGTCAAAATCTCCAAGCTGCCCATAGCCGGTCAGTGGTTTAACTACCTCGATAAAATTCAATTCGTCAAAAATAGTTTCCTCGGCATACTGCGTTTGAGCTTCACCAATGTCTGAATGGCTCGTTTTCTTTCTTTGTGCGCAATTCACGACAGTAGTAACGATATCAAAATATAAAAAAACATCTTAAAGGCATTTTTTCTACCTCCGCGAGGGAAAACTTTCCTCTTCGTTTTCCTTCTCATTGGTGTCGTTGTTTGATTTTACGCAAGAAAGAACGTTAAAAATCATCAAGCAACGACAGCGTCATGTCTGTTCGATGTAAGATGCCTTGTGATTCAATTCCACCGCTGAAATCGGCAGAAGACGTATTTAAAAAGATACAAAACCAAAAATTTGGCTTTAACTTTATTTAATAGAAAGTAATACTTTCAGTGATTTTATTGTAACATGTTTTACTTGAATGTTTTGAAACCATAGCTATGCCGATGAACACAGTGTAGAACATACATTTGTATACATTTTTGTTTCTAGTAGCCTCTTGCACCAATCTAAGTTTAACCATTCCATTTCTTCTCTTCGAACTAGAGCTTATTATTTCATCAAGCTTTGCATTTTCAGAAAATATCTCTGTATGAATTATTGAACATGTCAATTTCACTAATATAATAGATAAAATAAAACTTTCATCAATACATTTCCTGTCCTATTTTGCAATCGATTATGTTCTGAATCGTGACACTCAAATCAATGAAGAGATTTTTTATGAAAGATTCAATTATCCAGAGATTATATATTTTTGTTACTATACGCTAATCTATTATGAGGTTAAATTATCGATTTTGAACCTTTCAGAATTTTTCGTTTTCACAACTCCTGAAGATCTTTTCGATTGATGCCATGGAAATTTCAAGAAGTGTACAAAAGATCCTGATAGACTTGATGTTTTGAAATCTGTATTTCCTAGATGGAGAAGATTCAAGACCAAATAAAACTATTTGAAACTAAAAAAAAAACACTGATAATTAAAAAGATCCCATTGGTTTTCTGGAACAACGAAATCTTCTGTGTTGAATCACCAGGAACAACTCTTTCTTGACCAATTCACAAGCATAGTTTAGTGTCCTCTGTCGACTATAATGTGCGCATTAGAGGTTTACTTGAGCATGCAAAAGAAAAAAAATATTTACTGAGTAAAAACACATGTGTCATTGTCATAGAAATAGAAAGCTATATAATAACAACTATTTTCTATTCGCTGCCTCAATGAATATACACACTGTTCTTGCGTCACATTCCTTTCACAACTAGTCGAAGAGTAGAAAGCGATGAATTTAGAATTGTTTGCAAACGAATTATTGCTGGATATATTTGAATATTTTCATGCTGTACAAATTCTTCGAAGTTTTCAAGGTCTCAATAGACGTTTCGACACGCTAATCTTGACTCATTTTCAAAAGCATCGTTTCGATTTTCGAACAGCATCCAAAAAAGATTTCGATAGTGTTTGTGAAATAAATCTCCCATTAATTCTTGATCAAATTAGTTCACTTGGTCTTTCAAATGACGATGAAATTCCTCACCAAATTGATTTATTTCGTTCCTATGGTTGGAAACTTGATCAATTTCAAAATCTTTCCTCACTTTCATTAGACCATATTCGTTCAGGTGACATAGTTTGTGAAGTTTTATGCGAATGTCCTCAACTGATTCATTTGAATTTGAATTCATGCTATTTTGGCGGTAAACAAGATGATATTCTTCGTTTTGTCAATTGTGTTTGGAGCTTACCTAAATTGACTTACTGTTGTTTGAATATGAGCTTTAAACATGGACTCACCATGCCAATATCGAACAATATTTCATTATCATTGAAACATTTATCAGTCTTAGGTGTCTCTTACCGCATTGATCAATTAACTCAGCTTTGTGAATATACACCGCATCTTCAATATTTTACATTCGACTTATCCAGTACTCGTTCTGGCGAAGAAATAAAAAAATCTATTTCATCAATAACTACATTAAATCTTGTTTTTGTTGGTACACAGCATGGCATTATAGAAAATTTACTAAAACATGTCCCGAATTTGTGCCGACTGAAAATCGAAACAATGTATTTGGAAATGAATGGGCATGATTGGGAACATATTATTTGTCGTTGTTTACCGAAATTAAAAGCATTTCAATTAAAAATGAGATTCGAAGTTACGAGAGAAAAACATAGAAAAGAACTGTTGAATTCATTTCAAACTCGATTTTGGCTTGAAGAACAACAATGGTACATTCGGTATCATTACAATTTAGATGACAGCTCCAAAATGATTTGTCTCTATACTTTACCATTTAGTTTTTCTTATCTTGATATTTTCTTTCCTATTCATTTCGAATCGACTTGTCCACAAGATGATGATGATAATCAGTATTTATCATATAATCATGTTCAACATTTGCTGTATCGTTCTTCATTAACAAACAACATAATTGTGTCGAATCTTCATTTTTCAAATGTAACTCAACTTTCAATAACTCTTCCTGCAAACAATAATTTACTGTTCATCATGAAAAAACTTGATCGATTAAATACACTAGAAGTATCACGTTCGAAGAGTATGTCAAATGTTGACGCGCAGTTACAATTGCAAAATATACTTGACCTAGCACCTTATATATGTTCCTTGAGATTTAATTCATGGCGAGAAGGTCAATTTCAAAATCAAGATTCTTTGAGGACTGGTAGATTAACACCGATCGTCTTGAAAACTCGATTGATTCGACAGGTCAATTTGCGAGGCTATGATTGGTGGTTTAACGATGAAGAATGCGTATTGATACGTGATTCATCATTAATGAAAAGTTGTGAAGTACTTTTTATCAAAGTTCAAAATAGAATGAATTTACTTTATCTTATCAATTCACTGAATAATTTGCGAGCATTGATTGTTCAATCTCGTGATGACAATTGGACTTGGAATGACTATTCTTCGTCAACAGGTGATTCTTATGTTCAATGGTTACAGCAGAACTTGCCGTCGAAGTGTTCCGTTAAACGAGACTCTCGTTTCGTTCATTGTATTCGAATATGGATTCGTTTATAAACAATAAATCTGAAAAAAAGACAGCTTAAGATTAAAACACGAATAAGCAAATCCATGAAATATAATTATAATAACAATTAGAGGTGTTAGCTGTGTGGCTGAGCCGCCCGCAGCCACCAAATTCCTGATAATTTTAAGAATTTTTGGGGAGCCGCCGCTGCGAAAAAACAAGTTTAGCCGTTGCGCCACTGCAAGAGATAAACATTTTTGACAGCGTCATCCGCCGCTGCTAACATCAATTCATATGCGATCGAATCGAATATTTTTCTTTTAATTCTCATGAGTAAATTTTTAACTCAGCCGGCGCCGCTGCTGTGGAAAAAATTTTAAGAATTTGTAGTAGTCGCCGCTGAAGACATTACTCATTCAAATAAGGAGCCGCTAGAAATCTTCTAAAATTGAAAAGTATTGCACGCCGCCGCCGTTCAATCCTTCGGCTGACACCTCTAATAACAATACTGCAATAATATAATACCATCATTACTTGTTCAATGAACATCAAACTGGTTGTGTCACATTGTTAAAATGTTCTCTGCTGGTTTTCTTACATTTGCTCCTCTTAATTTTTTCAGTAGATTTGCATGGAACACTCACATAAGACTATGATTCAACTGTTCATGCTATGAAATTTCTTTTTGTCTTATCTTGCGAGTAAGATCACATAAGTCGATCAAACGGCACCAATTTGGTTTAGCATTTCTAAAATTGTACAAATAATTAAAAGATATTTAACGTAAAAGTACTTGTGTACCAGGTACTGTCTGTAACAACTTAGGTTTTCGCTATAATTTAACGCTTTTTCTAGTTGTATCTTTTTATATCATTCGTACCTTTTCAAATATGTCACTATATGTTATATTTTTAAGAGTGTTTTCATTTGTCTTCAAAGCTGAATTATATATTCTTGCCCATAAAATGCAAATTCTCTTCATTACAGTAATTTTTCAAAAGAATTCGATTGCCTTTAACCTTTATTCAGTTCTACCAGCTTCTTTTAGTATAGATATAAAATATATCTCTAGTAACACACAATAAACTAGCATGTTGTCATGTGCTCACTGGTTGAAATGCATGAGTTGAATTTAGCTATGAGCTCATTAGTGTTACTTGATGCTTTTAAGCTAATTCAATAGCTTTCATCGATATTTGTGCTGATAAATTATCCATTAGAAGAAGTAATCTACGTGAAATATTGGACGTTTAAATATCAAACAAATATTCAATAATTCAACTTTCATTGCTAGATTGATATTGATTATTTGATCAGGCTTTTCTTGACGCAATAATAGATTAGCATTTTTTTTCCGGCATAAACTATATATATGAATGTAAACAGATATCATTTAAATACACTATTAGAGGTAACATTTTCTTGATGCACCCTTTTTGTGTCAGTTGAAACACCAACTCAATCGCCTAAATAAAATAGAAAATTATAAATTGCCTAAAATTATTCGTTTCCAAACTGGGGAGAATATCATTCACCGCAACATACTCTCAAGCTATGTCACGTTTCTGTCGTCATTATTATAGAAAACAAACTTTAGGTCAATATAATCTTTCAGACTTGTCAAGAAGTGAAGACATGATACATGAAGCGAACTGTAATGTGAGAACACTTTCATGGTGTGGGGTGTCGCTGCAGCTGTAAGGATGCGAAGGGAAGAAATATTCATCCACCGACACCCGACGCATACAAAAAGGATGCATATTTTTCGAATTTGTTTTTGTCGTATTCTTTTAATAAATGTAAAGTAACGGTGGCTCATAAAGAATGAGGATCCCAATTTTTTCCGGCAAATTCAACATTCAATTTTCTACAAAACCGTATACAATAGACATCACCCTGATGAAAACAAAATAGTTGTCATAATTATATTATACGAAGGTGATAGTTCAACAACTTTCAAAAGTAACCCCGATAAATAGACGAGAATAAATGACCCTTTAAGTATTTCTTGGTATAATTTCTTTTCATTTTGATATTTTTGAGCTAACGTTTGAAAAAGAAAGCCTTAATGTTTCATTCTCTACAAAAACGATGATAAAGGCATGTCACAAAGAGAAAAGCAAGCCGAATGGTTCATATTCCAATATGAAACATGAAAAGAATTTCCTAACACAAAGTGCACCTCTATATGTTTATATGAAAATATATCAGCATATTTGAACAACGATAGCATGCACTTTGTGGAGCTTCAAAAGCTCTATCCTACGAAAATATTGAATTTTTTTTCTCACGAAGCCTTATTGCTTAAAATGTGAGAACTGAAAAAAATACGTATTTATTTCCAATAAAACTCTTTCTTTTTTAAATATGCAGCCGAGTGAGTGCTTATTCTATTTAACAACGTTTACTGGTAGAATTTTTTACACTGGCTAGTAACATCGAACTACTGAAGCTCTACAGAATGGCTATACATACTATCAGCCTGTATACTTCGATTTATAGATGATGCTCGACATTTATTGATAGTAGATGTTCATAGTGTTATTGTAATCGTCTTTGTTTTGTTTGTAGAGAGTTGAATGCTGAATCTTTCGAAAAAATACTAATAAATATATTAGAAAAATACTAAGACCATCATTCTTCATGATCAACCCGTTACTTTTGACAATAATACGAAAGAAATGAAATTGTTTGTGTGTTCTTATAATATATTTTCACAGGTTATTTGTCGTATCTTTAGAATGTCTAATGAAGTATATCATCAAAATACAAATATATTTTAAAATGTTAACAGATCGCAAGTAATTTTATGGCTTTCTGTCAATGATTGAGCATGGCCAACAGAACTTGCCTCTCCAAGTTTGTTTATATTTTTCTGTTCGTTCTTTAGTTTTTGCTGTCTCTCTCTGCCTATTTCTTTCTAGCTTTCGTTTATTTTGTTTTTTTCTTTCTTCACACTTCATAAAAACAGAAAAAAAAAGTTTGATAGAATATCGTCCTGTTTTTGTGTAACATGCAAACTTTATGATTCAGATACGACTACCATGCGACTGTTTGACACTAATCCAACATATTCGAAGTGCTATACATGGACACTAACATGGGATGGCATTTGAATGTATTCTTCGTCATTTTCCCAGTCAGTATCGGTCTCACAAGACAAAAACTAAATCAGTCATTTCGCACATAAGCAGCCCCTGTAAAATGTGAAACAATATTTTCTCCGCGACTGATTTCTAAGGAGCGTACACAATTTCCTTCTATTGCTCGGTAACAGTATCCTATGACAAAAAGTGGAACGCTTCACGATTACGAAACTCATCCTTGCGCAGGGAGCATGCTAATCTTCTCTGTATCGTTCCAATTTAGAGATCACCAGATACATCGGAATAGGATCCCGATGTACCTGGCTGACATTCATACTGCATTGTGTATCTTATATATTGTAATATGAATTGAACAGAAAGAAAATGGTGAATAGATAAGTTGCTGTGTTCTTACACTACGTGACGAAATTCTTCTTCTTCTGCCACTTTCCTGCAACCTGCAATTTTCTTTCAACGGGCCTGTTGCGTTTGTGTGCAGGTGTGGTGTAGGGCGCGCGAGTGTGGCCTTGAAAGATCATTTATACTATCATCAACTGTTACTTGGCCAAATCAGTTATTGCGGGTGTGGATGCGAATGTGACTATGAATGCAGTTATTGTCATCAGTCTTCTACTCGTACCCACACTCAGTTAATGTCTCCATCGCTTTTATTCGTTAGAAGCTTTCAATATTAGCTACTGCATGATCGAGTATGAAACAACATATATTTCCATCATTGGAATACAACGATAAAGAAGTGTCAAGTTAGAAATCTTCTTAATGTGGGTTTTTACGTGATATCAACTAAAGTTCTGTTTTTAATAAAGATACAACTGAATCAGATATGAAAATATCAATCGATTAAAAAATTGATCATAAGATAAAAGTCCCGCTACATTATTGCAGACAGGAACGTCCATTTGATATATATCGAAATAGAGGAAAAACGATACATTAGTTAACTTCAAGCCCAAACTCTACTATTTTTGCCACTCGATAAATCTATCTTGTAAAATATTTGAAATCATATTCAACTTTTATTGTTCGTTGTCAAGACAATTAATAATTTGCTTTTTTTGTTCATTGTTCATTCGTTTGAATTAAAATTCAATTAAATAATGTATTGTCTATTCCGTTTGATCTTTATTATATTTGTTGCTGAAAGTATTAATATAATGCATATTTTTCAAGATAAGAATCCATTTACTACAAATGATAGCAAGCCAAAAGAAAAATTTATGCTTATTCCAAGTATAGGCTATGAACTCGATAAAAAACAAGGCAATGCGACGTTGACATTCGACGGATGGTATTACAGATCATTAGATTCAAGTAAAAATTCGAAATTCGAATTAGTCATAAATGTAAAACTAACATTTAGGTATTATAAAAAATATTATTAAGAATACTCTGCAAGCTGCACTTGGTTTTATGGATAAGGGTGAAACAGCAAATGAAGAACGCCTAGAACCATTTTTCGTTGCAGATGTTTCCGATCGTAAATTTCAATTAAGACTAAGCGAATCGATTTCTCAGATCGTTTCAACTGATGAAAACGGTCGCTTTCATCAGACTATAATAGTTAATTCATTGACAAGATTACCTGTACAAGGACAAGTATTAAAATATATCGCTATTGATGATAGCCATTCTCAAAATGGATATGAAGGTACCGTTTATGTAATGAAAACTACCGATCACATTGGTTGCTCGATTATTTCGGATATTGATGACACTATCAAAATATCTGAAGTACCATTTAAAACAAAGCTAATGGTGAATACGTTCAAGAAACCATTTGAAGCCGTACCAGGTAGATGTTTTAATTTAAATATTTTTCTAACGCACTCAAAATTATGACAAATACCATTCATTGAACAGTTTGATAGAGCTACATACACTACGGAACGAGAGAGTGAATTTTGTGAACAGTCATATTCGTAGCTTCTCAAAAGAGATACTTTTAAAAAAAGACCAATAGCTACTTAATGATTGCATAGCTACTTGATAACTCAATAAAAAACACAACATTCAATCATAAACATTTGAAAGTAATCAGAAATGTAATAAGAATTCAAATTTGAAGCATTTCGATTATTTCGTGTCAACTAACTATTAAAATCTTCACTTTTTCTTTCATACATCCCTTTCAGCCCCCGTGCTCCTTTATATCATTAATAGTGTTGGTATCATAAATATTTGATTATTCTCATGAACTCTATATACGTCTGCATTGTGAATACAAAATGTTTTGTTTAAGTAATGATATTCATTCAGTAGCTATACGAAAGCACCGAGTACTTATGTTTAAGAAAATGCAGGAGACTATATTAAAGAAAAGTATCTCTTTTGAGAATGAGTCATAATATTCGAACATATGAAAAACTTGACTGTATTGTGATGGAAATCTGAACTATCTAAATAGTTCGCTACAGATTTATACTTTGAGATTCTGCATGAAAAAATTTCAGAATATACAGTTGAAATCTCATTTTTATTCTTATTCAACTAAAGCGTCAAAGTGTCTCTGAATAAAGCGAGCACTTACTTTTGTTTTAGGTATGTCGGGTGTTTATCGTTCGTGGGAATCTTTACACCAATGCTTAATACATTATGTTAGTGCAATGCCTTCACAATTATACTATGTAACACAAAATTTTCTTAATCAACAAAACTTTCCTGGTGGTTCCTTTCGTATGTGAATATTAATTAACAAGAGACAGTAAACTGCTTTGTTTCTCTAGATATGCGTCATTTGAAATTAGTGAGCAGCGAAAAAATTAATTTACTAAAGCACATTATTGATTTTGTTCAACATGATGCGTCTCAAAAACATAAAATATCCGTCATTGAAAATATTCTTACACATGCTCCTATAAAACAACAGTTTACTATGGTTGGTGATTCGGGCGAAGTTGATCCTGAGGTAAAAGAAAACGAATGATACGTTAAAGATCTCACTTTAAAATATCATTTAGATTTACGGAACTATTGCTCGAAGATTTCCTCATAGAATCAATATGATATTCATTCGCGTTGTTGACGGTGGTAAAAATGGCGATAATCGATTTGAAAACGCTTTTCAAAATGTTTCTCGTGATAAATGGAAATTATTTTCCAGTGCAGCTGAACTTCCTAAACAATTATACAATGATGTAAACACAAGAATTCCAATTGATATGACGATTGATTTCACTTCTGCTAAGCCAAATAATACTAAGATGTTATCAACTTCGTTTGTCTTTGCCATCTTACCAGTGCTTGTAACTTTATTTTTCATCAGTCAATATATCTAAACGACGAATATTTATTGTCTTACTCATTGATTAATTGATATTCGTTTCAATATTTGTTGTGTTTTTTCAAGATAAACGATGACCGTTGTTCGATTCATTTCAATCAATTAGATGTAAAAGTCGAATTCTTCAGCACCGTTAATATTTCATCTCTCAAAAATAAAATCGTGAATGACATGAAATTATATCTCATCTATTTTGTAGTATTCTCACATTAATCTTCTCATTCAAACATTAATCATGTTCGATGTATTCATATCATGTTTTAGCGATGGTAAAAGTGTCACTTTTATTAAAAAATATGAAATACATTCATTTTAATTAAACCTTCGATTATGACATACGGTGCATTCAGTGAGCTTTGTTTGTATTGGTTGCTTTACTTCGATTGGCACTCGATGATGCCATAATTGAGTAGAGCTAGCTCTTTTTTTCAATATAAAATACTGATGCAGTGTCTTATTATTCGATTATGATTTATTGACTTTTTTATTTCTGACCGCTTCAACTGCGACATTAATTGACGTTTCTTTCTATTCATTCCATCTACCAATATCAGACTTCTATTGACATCTAATATAAATCTATAGTAAATTTTTTGCGTTTACGTTCTTGCATAAGTTGATCACCAAATGCAAATATTCTGTTGTGTTCTGCAAAATTTCCACTTCTTAATTTTATATGTAATAGCATGGTGCATTTACATACGTGATTACATATTATCATAACGCTGAATAAAACATGTACGATTAACTGTTTTGTAATTATTCCTCGAACGTGCTATTTCATGCAATAATCTTCTATTATCTAATATTGATGAAAATACAGCTGAAAACTCATTGCTGACTGATAGAACAAAAGGCACCCGAAAAAAATCAATAGGTCTGATCTGACTTGCGAGTATTTTAAATCAGACGAGAAAGAAGTGGCTTTTTTACACCTGTGACAAACAATTTGCATTCATGTTGTGTTCTTCGTATCCTCCGATAACGAGAATAAGCCTCATGTACCATTTGTTCATGCATACATCTAATTTATATACGGTAGCTCTCTACTGATTCGTCGATCAGGCCGCAAAATATCATTTGACTATTAATAATACAGGTATTATTATTTTCTATTCATTTCAATTCAGCAAAAGAAACATAATTGTTACCTATGATATAAACAGTTATTGCTTGTTTTTTTTTCACTCGTTCAAGCAATTCAATACTCTGCCTCTTCTCTATTCATATGAAAAACATGCAACAATGTCTATTAATTTCTACGAAGTTTAGCCTATTATTGAAAAAAAAGCAATGTAGTCTTATAAAATATTATCACAATTAGTTTTATTATATATATAAGAAAAATAACATGAAGGAAATTTGCATTATATTATTCATATGACATGCAAATCGTAGCAACAATTCATTTAACGTTTGACATAAACATTGCCAACACAACAAGAAAATTAGGCATATTTAAAAAAAACGTAAACGAAATCTTCCTCCCCATCATGGTGGTACTTGTGCTGTTTGACAAGTATTATCAAACCACCATTTGTGAATATTATCAATAACATTTGGTTTCGAATCAAGATGAAGACGAAGACAAAGATCACAAAATGGAGAAAAGAAATTATGTAAACCCCAAACATAATCTTTTTTCCAGGAAAAATACGATAGATATTTTTCTTTATTGTAACGACTTTCATTAAGATGCCGAGCTAGCGTGATCATAGTAGAAAATTGATTCGTGTCAATAAATCCCGACGATGGAATGAAATAGGAATAATTTGTTCGTCCTAAAACAACCGGTACAACGGGATGTTCAAGTGCAGCAAAGAATTTTTCAGCTGAAAAAGTTTAATTATTTTCTTCTCGTTGTTGAAAATCTGTAAATGAACTTACTAGTATAGTCTTGACAAAGACTATTCTCAAAACTGAGAATAAAATAATAATTTTCAGCTATAAATTGTCGACAATTTATATTCGATGGACATGAGAGTCCACAACGGCCATATATTTTAACATCAATATAACGTTTTAATTCGTTTATAAATTGTATACGTTTACTGCTGCCACCACAATTTGATATTAGTGCAGCAGCAATGCCTAATTTTTTCTTTTCTAGGATCGTATCGGACGGTCGATGATCCTTTGTTATTGTTGTTAAATTAAGCTTGCGTGTAATATTTTCATGTAACATGGTTTGATAGAAAGGACTCGACGTATGAACATATGCATTTCCCGAATAGTACGATGTCAGAATATGCGAATCGAATCGAAAAGTCATTGTCCAATTGAAAAATTGATTATATGATTGTAAATTCGGCGTATGCGGCGGTGACTCCCATAGAGCAAATACAAAACGTTGTTTAGGATGACGTTTTTGTGTAGCACGATTTTGATCGATACTATCACGTATATGATAGACAACAGCATCGGCTTCAGTAAAACGATCGAAATCAGTTGTTATATCACAGCGCTCGGATAAAAATGGACAAAACAGTGAAGTCACTAGAATCAAATCGATTTAATCAAGAGAAAATATTTTTTTATAGAATGATTTTTTACTTTTTTGTGTTGACGATCGACCTGGTACAGCGATGCCCCAATCTCGACTACCGAAAAATCCATTTCCTAATAAAATAAGTTTACTCGTATTGCCTATTAATGACACATTCTGATTAAAAATATGTATGGATAGACGAGGATGAAAATCGGAAACATGATTTTGAAATTCAGTTTTTCTAGGTGGTAATTCGAGTATTGAATCATTTGTTTGATTTTTTGTTAAAGTAATGTTAGAAAACAAAGGTTTGGTTATGCTTTGATTTGTGAAGGGTAGTCTTAATGAATCAAGCATGAGTACATAATCGTTCGTATATAATAAATAAGATAAACAAGCAAATATTGTGAATAAACTAATATATTTTAAATACTTTTGATATTTCATTCCAACAGACCTATTGAGTGCAAAAAATAAAAATTATTCTAAAACTTAGGCAATTTATTCCTTATACTAATTTCTTAAAATTACTGCTGCTAATCGTCTTGTAGGATGAAATAGCTTCTGATAAAAAGAAATTCTAAACGATAAGGATACATTAGTCTCAAATTTGTCATATTCAAGCAGAATTTTCATAGTTCACTATAGTAAATTATTTTTCAATAGAACAGCATAAAAAAATTTAACATTCCATGTCGCACATTTTTTTTGTCGCTACTGCCGTTTTTTTGTCGGTTTGAATCACATGAAATGAAACTAAACTCATTGAAACTGAAGTATGCTTTCTTTTCTTTTGTATATAATTATAAAAAACGCCTCTGCAACTAAGATCGGATATATGTGTTTGAACAATACACCATTTTAAGTATATTGTATTATAGCGTTGCTCAATACGATTTATTCATCCAAAACGTTCATTTATTGGTTAGGAATATTTTTTCTTTTGATACTTTGAAACGAATGATCAAATTTACAAAGTAAACAATTCGAACTCTACAGACTCCAACAACAAACTGAATGATTATGGTGTGTGTGCTTGACTACTTGAAACGTTGAGAATGTTACTACCTCATATATATATATATATATATAAGAGATCATTAGACACACGAACAATAGAGGAACACAATCAGACGACTCGTGAATATGATTTCTTATCATGTGTCACCTATTTGTCTAAGAGGAACTGCGCTAATAGCTTCTGTTTGATATTGTTCTTCGTGAAATTCAAATTTTACGCAAATTTGACGATCTTATTAGTTAATTAGCGCCATCTCTGCATTCTCTTCGTATTGAAATCAAACGCATTTCAAAAGCACAACTTAGATGTTTGTTATTTATTCGTTTTGATTTTATAAAAAATATAGCAGGCTTTCTGTGAATGTTAATTTTTTCATACTGGACGTCTTTCATTAATAATCCCATCGTACTTGCCACTCACTAAGATAAACATGTATACATAGAATCAATGATTTTATTTTAAAAATTTTTTATGACATAATGGATATATAGAAAAACAGTTTATGAGTCTTTATTTTTATAACGTTACGTCGTTCGCTAAAATGAACATAAAAAAGACATTAATGAATGAACTTAACGGATAATTGATATGTACACACTTAAAAGTTTGACATTATTCTCTTTTTTCTAAGTATTTAATTTCAATCAGTGAATCCTCCTATTGCTGTCTGAAGTAAACGAAAAGGCATGTTCTCCATTGACAGCTTTAGAAAAATATCTGTCCACTTATGTTCAAAGTTTCCAATAAAAGAATCTATCAGTCGAGTGGGATATAGATGTGAAATTAAAGAAAATATTGAGCTTACTTGTTTCTTTACTGTTTTGTCCACTGTCTTATACTAGTTGTCAATCAGCAATTATTTTCGGCTGTAGTCGTCATCCGTTCATCGGATGCTGTTTGCACTCTTTGTCAGCTCACATGGTAGATGTGAAAGAGACTAGCTATGTTGAGTTGGACTATAGTAACTGAAACGATAAGATAAAGATACAAAAAACACCCTAGTAGACGAGCAGAGTAATGGTTTGCTTACACAAGGATGATTTGACTCCGAAAGAAGAGGAAAAAAGGAAAAAGAAATAGAATCGAAGGCGCATAGGAAAGAAAAAGGCCAGAGAAAAGAGAGAGTACAAAGATAAACAACCATCGCATGATAGTTATTTTAACACTTTGCCATTCACACTCACACACTAGTTCTCAAAATAACTTATAGTGAGATTGAGGTGTTCTTTTAATGTGATATCTGCCATACTGAGTATTGAAAGAAATACTCGTCTGTTGGTAGAAAAATTTTGAAGTATCGAGTTAGACTTTCTTGGAACACATTCACAATTTCGTAAATGTCTATGACAAATTTTTTCTTGTTCTTTTCTACTTAATCCCAAGGTAGCATGAGCTTGTAATGAATATTGACAGAGAACTAACCTACAAGAAAAATAGAAAATCACGATTCAAGGCGAAACTTTTGTTTCATTTTGGTACAAGCCAGAAAATATATGACTTCTATTCATTCGAAAGGTTATTAATTGACAAAATCTGCTGAATGGATTACATAAAAACGAGCAAATATGCTGCATTATATTGGTTTCTATCTGCAATTGCCATTTCTAAAGTTAACTCGTGCTCTTTACAATTTATTCTCCAGATGGTTCCAAATTGTATTTCTTAAGTGTTCGCAATAGCATTACTATAGATTGCAAATGCGAACTAAATATGTTGAAGGTTTCTTTAATTTAATAGATGTACCATAAACAATTAGGATTATAGTATTTTTCTAATCTCTTCATTAGTTTTAGTTCTTTAAAGTTAGTTATTTTTTCTAGAAAGATTCAGTTTTCCATTCTCTATTCCAACGGACATTATTCACATAAAAGCAAAATAGTTATCATAATACTATTACAAGTGACTCATTGCAAGAGTGCTTCCGATGAATGAACGAGAATCAACAATCCTTTAAATATTTCTCCGTAATTTCTTTTCCATTCTAAGAATGAAACATTCAAGGTTTCATTCTCTAAAAAAAGAACAGTCAATGCATGCCATAAAGAGACAAGCAAACAAGGCGGTGACTAGGAAACCTCAAAAAATGTCTCAACACAACATGTAGCCCTTTTATATTTATTAGAAACTAACGGATGTGCCAGGTGAAATGTGCCTCTCAGTATTTTTCAAATATCTCGTTCAAGTTCCCATGTATTTATTTAATTTTTTTTCTCTGAAAGATAGCCCATCGAATTCTCTACAAAAAATAGTGAACACAGTTCTTTCAACGAATCATTTTGAAATTATATCCAGTCTACACTACAATGCTCCGAAATAGTTCACTTTCAAATGCGTGTTTTTATAAAACTAATTATTTCATAAGAAAAGAAAGAGATAGCTATTGTAAATAACATTTTATTAAATATTTATTTCAAACAGAAATAAAAATAGAGAGATTCAAGCTTTCGTGTCCTTGTCTGAAACACATCGTCAGGAATGACGTTATAAGCGATATCGAGAAATAGGATAGGTGATGTTGTGTGACATGATGGTCAAGATGGAATATTACGATTATATACATTGTATGTTATCGTTGTTGTTATATTGATGTAAATGAGATGAGTTAACAAAGAAATTAAAGAAGGTAAATATTAAATAAAGAAAAACAAATAAATATATACATGTGCGAACATGTATAAATAGAGACGAGCACTTATCATGACGTTTCTGACTAATGCGAGGAGTGTCGACCTCGGTCTTAAGGCAGAACATCTACCACGATATTAATCAGAATATGTCAACCCAGGTGAAAAAAACGGCCTGTAAAACGAGCTGACGGATTACGGCGAAATAGGGTGAAAGTTAATGCCGTTTTATGTCGTTTTATAGCCGTTTCAGGCTGTTTCCGATGGCCTTTCAGACGACCGGATGATCCTCCTGGGAAGAGTGCGTTCATTACAGAAGATGTAACGGAAAGATAAATCCAATGCGAGGAGTATCGACCTTAATTAAGGTAGAGCATCTCTCACAACACTAATGATGGTTTTTTTGACTTTTTTTAGAGAACAGGTAATATAAACGAACTGGATATTAACATTATTCAATAAATTAATGTATAGCCGTTCTATAAGTCAATGTGTTACTTATATGAAAGACAGTGGTTGATGGTTATGAAAATAAGTGAGTAGGATTAGTAAATATGTGTGTAGTAATCAATCGGATCTGGGCGAAATACTCGAAGTACTCGTACTCGAAAAAGTCCGTACTTGCCCAGCTCTGCCATCAATCACTGTCTTTCGTATAAGTAACACATTGACTTATAGAACGGCTATACATTAATTTATTGAATAATATTAATATCCGGTTCGTTTATATTACCTGTTCTCTAAAAAAAATCATCATTAATGTTGTGAGAGATGCTCTACCTTAATTAAAGTCAACACTCCTCGCATTAGTCAGAAACGTCATGATAAGTGCTCGTCTCTATTTATACATGTTCGCACATGTATATATTTATTTGTTTTTCTTTATTTAATATTTACCTTCTTTAATTTCTTTGTTAACTCATCTCATTTACATCAATATAACAACAACGATAACATACAATGTATATAATCGTAATATTCCATCTTGACCATCATGTCACACAACATCACCTATCCTATTTCTCGATATCGCTTATAACGTCATTCCTGACGATGTGTCTCAGACAAGGACACGAAAGCTTGAATCTCTCTATTTTTATTTCTGTTTGAAATAAATATTTAATAAAATGTTATTTACAGTAGTTATCTCTTTCTTTTCTTATTTATTTCCTACTGCTTTATCTTCTGGATTTAATTATTTCATTGTTTCTCTTCAAACAGATACGAGACTCTACTCTCATGCAATTTCCCTCTGATCTCAGGTTTAATCTCTCTAATAAGGCTCAAAAGAAGATATTTGGATAGGATTGCGAGTTGCCATCGATCAATTTTCTTCAAAAACGGTTTGAAACTATCGATCTTCCTCATTTTATGGCACAAGCATTTCAAAAAACCTCTTAATAGCATTCATTTTCCTATCAGAATGATAGAGAAAACAGTTATCGTCAATTTGATATTACATCTGAATGCATCATCGTTGTCTATCTAATGTAACAAAACCATAATTGCGTATTATTTTACGAAAGATTCTCAAAACGAAAGTAGTGACGCACCAAGAAGAGGCTTTTTCAGACAAATTGACGTGACGCTAAAATAAAGTTTTTTCTCAATTGATAGAGCTTTTTAAGAGCTACAAACTAGTCTAATCAATTCGTTTTCTCAGTAGGAAAGGAGCAGGGCAAAATCGTAAATACAAAATGAAGTGCTTTGAA